CAACCAGGGAAAAATCATTCTACATTAACAAGGCACTCACTGGTTCACAGCCTGCTAAAAACCCAGGCAGACATTAGAGTTAATCTGAAATAAAACGAACTTTCTAATTTGCATCAGAGGGATGACAGGCATGTGGTCCCAGTTAAATCAAATCTAAAGCTTGACTAGCTAAGATCCAGAAAATTCTGACCCTTAAGCACCACTTCAGGAATACTGCTAGAATAAGTGGGATCTAGAGATCTGTGTTTGGCTTTATATTTGCTTTTTTTTTGGATTAAAAAAAACAATGCAGTCTGTTTGTGAACAGACTTTGTGAAGCTGGTGTCCCTAGTAATGACACTGAGATCCAGCTGGCTGATGGATATACGGCCAATTAAAAAACTTTCAGGAGCAAAAGTCAGATGATTCAAATCATCTACAAAGGACCTGACCCTTGTTTTTAAACACAGATATGTTAGTTTTCTGGACCTTCCTCTAAAATGAATTTAAGGAATTGATACATTTCATAAAATATACATATAATTTCTGTCAGCTACTACTTTTGTACAACCTGAATCCCAGTGTTAAACAAAATACTGCAATTATAGAAATAACTAAACAAATAACACAGTAAGAGAGACAACTTCTGTGTAAATAAAATGAATGATTATGTACTGAATAGCCTTGAAACAGCTTTCAAAGAACAAAGTAAGCTGAAGAAAATTATACTTGGAGCTCTTTTCTCATGTAAATCAGTAACAACTTGGCTCTTGGTTGAAAACATCACATAGACATATACTAACCAGAGATTATCTCCAGCTCACTATCAACATGGATGACAAATTTTAAGCAGTTCTTTCAAAAGAAAATCAAAATTAATTCAAAGCCTTTCAATCTGATTTGTGACATCTTTGTTCAATATAACTTAAATGACATAGCCTGAGAAAAGCACCAACACAGATTTTTTAAATTGCATCCAACCATTATTTTCGATGTCATAAAGATTTACTTGAGTCAAAAATGGCAGCAATGACAAAGAGGTAGATATGAAAGATGCCATTTAAATACTATTCTTAGGTGGAATTTTAACTAGTTCAGGTGTTTAATTTTAAAACAATTTTTACTAGCTAAATAGTCATCATATAAGAATTTCATGACATGCTCTTGTGTAAAGGGGAAATACATGAACTACTAAAAAAAAATGAGCCTTTAAAAATTACATTTACTTAGCTAACATTAATGAGATCCTGTAATTTTGATGAATCAGTAATTTCTCCTTTTACCTGAACTTGATTTATAATGAAATAACAGTTATTTTATTCTCTACTGAAATTTCTAGGAATTCACATTCATAATTCTTGGAAAGTACTTATGGTGCTCAGAAGAGCAAGAAGACAGCGCATGAAATGTCCCCTGAAGTCCTAGAAGTTTTACAGACACATTAAAAAGACACTGATGGTCACAAATCAGGACCTTCATAGATGGGCACTCTAACAACATCTCACACACACACACACACACACACACACACACACACTCACACACTCTCTCACACCTCTTCCCCACAAAACAACTCAATCCTCATCCTCACTGTAAGGCTGAATTTGTATTTTTTTTTTTTAAAGGCACCTCTCTTTCTCTAGCTATTGCCTTCTTGATGGTATCAGTTTTGTCAAAAATCCTGAATGCTCAATGGAAATAGTTCAGTACTGAGAATGGAACATTTTTCAATTCACATTTGAATAGCCAGGTTTTCTTACATTCAGATTTTAATAAACTAGAATGACAGTCTTTAAAACAAGCATGCTAGCCTATAATGAATATCATATATACAGTAATTTAAACATTTAGAACTATATATTATACTGCAAAAGCAAATAGCACAACACTCATCATACTCGTCATTACCTGCTGTGGACACTACCTCCAAAAATGAAAATACAAAACAGTAAAATGCACCTATGGTTTTATATATATATATATATATATATAATATATATAGTCTATATATATATTATATATATCCCCACAATATATATAATATATATTTATAAAATATACATACATTTTAGACATTTTCAAATAAATCTTCATCATTATCTCCAAAAGAAACTTATAGCAAGAACACTGAAGGAATGAAACTCAGATAAACAAAAAATTTCTCACAAAGTTCATTATCAGTGATACAGCTCAATTTCCCCTCTTTTAGTCATAACTAAAATGATTATAAAAGCTAAATACTTTGCATAACTAATTATTCTGTTTAATGGCCAAAATTGCTAAACGTGTTCAATAGAAAAATACTGAAGGTCATTATATCACTTATGTTAAATATCTGTCTATGGTTTGAGTAGCAAATGAGCTCCATATGACAGCTGAGTTTCGAGAAGGGTGCTGCAAGCTCCCAGGGATGTACCCACAGCATATGAAAATAAGGCAGGGACCCACATCATCGGCTGATTTTCATACTCTTCCAATACATTTCATCCAAAATATTTACAAATAAAGCACTATGAAAGCATTTCAATCATTGTTCAAATCTGGGATTTGTTCATTTTGTCAATTTTCACTGAAGTTTTGATAGGCTGAGGGAAAAGTCAGACAAACACACACACATATAGATGCTTCTATCTGGCTGGAAGACAGCTTTGGCTCATTTCTAGGCTGAGATCCTAACAGTGCTAGTGGAGAAGAAATCCCTGTTTCTGGGTACCACCTCCAAGAGTACACACAGCACTGGCTTTCTAAGGAGCTTTCAACAGTTCCATCATTTGCGCTACAGTCTACATATCTCATGGCTGTTTTCCACTTACTAATAGAAAAATTTCAACCATGAGACCTAAAATGCAGGTGAAGAGAGTGTCTTAGTTTTGAGAATTCCAGTTGACAGAAGTAAAGCAGGCACTGAACACCCTGGAAGGTAATTAAAGCAATAATTGGTAGAACAATAGCTTGTAATCATCCATCACAAACAAGCCAATTAAGAGCACCTGACTGAAATTTTCCAGTACCCTTCTACAAATGTTAGATCAGTGATATCATTTATTTACTTTGTGAAGAAGCCAAAAAGGAATCACTAAACACAACATGGAATTCTATACCCGCACAGGAATATAAACATTTACCTGGTAGCTCATGTCCAGGTCAATTCACTTGAATATACAAAGCAGTCCCTTGAGCCCACTGTTAAGCACATATGAAATGACAAGGTAGCTGTGTCAAAATAAAGCGTATCTGTGTATCAACCAGGAAAATTTAACAGAGGTCCTTAAAGAAAACCTGCCTGTATACAGCTGAATTCTCAAGGCAGATAAGCAGACATTTTAAAGAAAAACTGTCAATTAATATCCACACTATCATGTTAATACTTCTTCAGGGAGCAGATGTAGGTATAAGAAGTGCCATTGCTATGATAATGGAATATGTGGGCATAGGAATGTAGAAATTACATCTGAGAGCGTATTAAAAGTACATTTTGCTGAAAATTTGGGAATTAGTAACATTTCTGACTTCCAGATTGGTCTCTGCCATATTGGGCAAATAAGAAAGTGCATGAGGAAGAGGGGAGACAGCTGCAGGGATAAGGTCTACATACCATGTCCAGACAGTGGGGTCATGTAAATCCCAAGAGCTGACCGTATGTGAGTCATTGGTACGGTGAGCTCAGAGAACCCTGGGCCTTCAAGACATGGTTTTCCCCAGAAACAATATTGACTCACTGCCCATTAAAACATGCTATGTATTCCAATGAAACACTGGAGGTGGGGTAAGGCAAGGGAAAGAGAGAGAGAACCCTCTAGCCAATATTATACACCAAACTATTCCATCCAGATTTCCAAGAGGTTTTACTTCTTGGAGATATTAATAACGGAACTTCTGGGGCACAAACATTTGCTTTATTTAGTAATTCTGCAAAGGCAGCTGCCTGAGGGTAACCATACCCTTGGACTATTAAAACATAATAATTATGAACTATTTTTGGTAGGTGTCAGATAATTTTAATATCAGAGACAAAGAAGAAAGAAATCATGTGAAGCATGGTTATGTGGGTTCTGGTGAGTAGTTGCAAGTAACTTCCAGCTTTTCAATCACTAAAAGGTATGATTTCATCAATATGAAATAATCACTCTGATACTATAAATATCACATGAATAAAGTGAAATTTAAAATTAACAGAAATCATTATAAAGATATGCCCTGCTTGCCATTAAAAATAAACAGAATCTTAAACCTGAATAAGTTAAATTCTTTAGTAAAAGCAGACTCATATCAACTATTCTTCATAATGGTGAGTATTTTTGACAGCTAAACTTTAGAATGGTACCAAATCTATTTTCAAAAATGTTAATACAATATAGAAATCTGCTTACAAACTAAATATTTGTTTAGCATTTCTGAATAATAATATATTTAACATATTATTGCATTTGTTTCCCTCTAATAAGTAAAATGTTTTGCCAGGTGCTTTATGAGAACAGTTGAAAGGAGAGCTAAATTAAAAACTCATTTTAACACTGTCTGGTCATTATGTGCATAGGGGTTAGTACAGTAGATGTGATAAAGATCACCGTTTTAACTATCTAACATGTTTAACAAGATTTCTCAGGGGAGAACTAGGTTTAAATTGCCATTCTTCCTCTACTCATTCCCAGTAATCAAGCTTTTCAATTATCCCTTATAATATGCCCTATTAGCTCAATAGGGACAAGCTAAACCTATGTTTGTTCTTCGCTCAGGCCTGCCTAGCGAATTAGAACAACCTCAGAAATAAAAGCTCCTGTTTTGGGAAAATTTTTAAAGTTTTCAGGCTCACAGATTCAGCTGAGCTTGCAGCAACCTGAACAAACCTTAGTTTTAGAAAACAGTGTACGAATTGCAAAACTATACTTTAACAAATGTTCTCTGTGCTCCTTCAGCAGAACATAAGGGCTGGATGGGTTGACTCTTGCCCTGGTCTTCTGTATCTCTTTTGTGCAGTTGATTACTTATAAACAGCTAGAAGGTGAAGATGATGCATTGTGTCATACAAAGACTTTAGCCAGTGCATCCGCCCCAGCACTGGCTATATAGCATTTGGATGGGTGGAAAGCTACATCATGAATTGATTCTTCAAACTTTTTCCGATGAGCCGTGAACTCTTGGATACACGTCTTACTTTCTAGGTTCCATAAACGTATTGAACAGTCATGACCTATATTAAAAGAAAAGAAATTAAGAGAAAAATTACATTAAATGTGAAAACAGTAAGAATAAACAAATAAGTCAAAGCTGTACTTACTGCCAGACATTAAGTACAGGCCATTTGGATCAACTGCTAAACTTGTAACGGCTTCTAGGTGGGCTACCATCGAGTGGATCAGTTTGCCTTTGGAAAAAGAGATTGTTACTCTTTAGTAAGTTTTTTTCATCCAGAATACCAGTTAGCTACCACGCTGTACTGGCTCCACCAACCACCCCTCTCTGCATCAAAGACTTTCCCAACTGCTAAAACAATGCATGTCTCCCTCCTTGCTCTAGCCATGGTGATGATGAGAAACAAAAGCTCAACTTTCATATTACATTTTTGTCTTTCACAATATGGAAGTCAGTAATTTGTACACAAATATTCCCTTAAGCCATGTTCATTAACTAAAACTCAGACATTATTAATCACTAACTTTGCATCCTTAAGCTACAAGCAAATTATAGGTTATGGAAAGAGAAGAAGAGGCCGCGACAAAGACAAAGGAACAGAAAATCTGGCCACAGTTTTGGTGGAAATGGTATATGGAAAGATATTAAAAATACTAAATTATTCATCAATTGCAGCTAAACAAACTTAACAAAAGTTGACAGCAGATTCTCAAGTAAATATGGCTACTTTTCTCCCAATCAGCTCTTCATGCATTTCCTTTAGACTAGTGAAAAATAACCTAATAAAAATTGGGAAAGCTTCCATACCCCAATGCAAATCCATCAGGACCAAATAATCAGTATTATAAAATAAAAAAAATTAGTCCATGGAAAAACAAATCAAATGACTCAGGAGTTTTCCATCTGTAACACTAAGGATCTTAAAAAATTAAACAATTTTAAACAAAATATAATGATCATACGCCCATACTTCCAACATGTTTCTACTTTTCCACAATATATTAATATTTTATTGCTGGTATATATCTGAATAAATTTTTCATTATGTTCTGAGTAATAACATTAGTCTAGGGCCAAAATATAGCACCTATTTACTATTAAATAAACTAAGATGATCCCATATGCGATCATGAACACTGATTCTTTGCAGAGTTAGATGAAGTAAAAACAAATGATCTGGGAGAGAATCTGTGTTTCAGTGCCTATTCCCTGACCATAAAGCCACCGACAGACACCAAAATTAGTTATGATTTTTTTTCAATAATAATCAATTTAAATATATTCTTACCTGTATTGTTATCATAGAATTTGATGTGCCTGTCTTCATGAGCAGTGATGCTGATGGGAAGAGTGGGGTGACTGATGACTCTATTTATTTGGCAGGAAGAGTTGGCTGCTAAAAAGAAAAAATTAAAGAGCAACACAAATTTTTCAAAGCTACCATTTCTTCACACAAAAAAGAACTGAGCATTCACATAAGCGCCTGGAAAAGTAGATGATGGACTTTTAATTTGTCTTTAGTTCATTTATTCTGCAACTGTGTTCGTAACTGTGATGTTAGGAAATGAGACTCATCTGAGAAACACTCTACTGACAAATCTAGAAGTACTTGGAAATTAGAATTTCCTTTCCACCACCTGCTCTGTAGGGATGCCACTGAGAAATTTGCCCAGAGCAATGGGCATCTCTCATTTGACAGTAGTCTATGATACTTCTGCCACTTTCAGAAAATTCCATCATTATTTCATGTGGATAATTTCCAAATTTAAATCTCAGCTTTGTCTAGACACAGAGCTCTTTATCACATGGTCATTATCAAAAGATAAACATGACAAAGGGAGATTCTTAACTCTTCAGTCTTCTCTTTCTCATCAAAATAGAAATGGTCGTCAATCGGTCATCAATCTACCATGTATGGAATCTGAAAACAGCATCCTAACAGTACTCTTTGTACACTATTTAATAGCTTTCAAAGAGATCTTAATTATACATGCACACTGAGACGGGCGGGCCAATTGTCATTAAGTCCTTAACCTAGTGAATGAACTGAGGTGCATAAAACAGCTGTTATAGCCCCCAAAATCATGGTAACAAAGCCAGTACCTATATCAATGCCTACTCTACCCAAACTAGATGACTCATGCAAATCAGGCAACTGTTAAAAAAGGTACCTACACTATCACAAGTTCCTCCTGAAAGTCTTTAATCAAATGGAAATCAATTATGAAGAACTTATGTTTAGTGATTTTTGTTACCATACTTTTGATAAGGAAAAGTCTACAAAAAGATAACACTAATTTAAGATACATCAAAGTTAAAATAATTATTATATTAATATCAGGGTATTGGAAGAAGGAATGTCCTTACAGAGTATATATTGGGGCAACCAGCAAATTTGAGTGTAAATAATAACTCATACAACAGCATTTTGTCATTGTAAATTCCTTGATTTTGATAATGTAATATGCTGCCAGAGACTGCCCTTGTTCTTAGGAATTACATACTAAAGGACCTAGGGGTATAGGGATATACTGTCTCTTAAGTGGCTCAGAATTTTAAAGTACACACACATGCACAGAATGACAAAGTAAGTGTGACTAACATGGCAAAAGGTTAAAAACTAGTGAATCTGGGTGAAGTATAACCAGAAGTTCTTATACCATTTTTGAAACTTTTCTTTAAACTTAAAACTTCAAAAATAAAGTGTTCTTAAATTTTTTTTAATCTCAGAATAAGTATCATGAAGTTATACTCATAACAGAAAATACAACTATGTACAGTTAAAAATAGCTCCAATATTAGTCTACCCTACTGGATTTTCAATGTGGTACCTAGAAACATGACCTCTTAAAAGCTGAAAACAGTCTTTTTTCCAATGCTGACAGCAGGTGGCCACCCAGTCTGTTATCTATGTGCACAATAAAAGTCACCTGACCATGTGGAATGAACTCTGGGTTGGCTACACTCATTTTAAATGGTCCTAGAAAAAGAATTTAGATTCAAAATTCATACTATGGATGCCTTTTCCACCAGAAATAACACACCATTGTGCAATATCCTCTGTAAGGTCTATCAGGAGAATAACAACAACAACAAAAATACTTTAAGTAAAACAGCCCATATATCTTGAGAGAGAGGTTTCTGAGAAGAGCTTCAATTACTTTGAGATCTGGAAAATGAGTATGATAGAAATCAGGCAAAAGAAAGTTCTTATTTAATAATACTTTTTAAGGAAGTTTCTCCACTTGATGGTAAGTCAGATAAGTAAAAGTCAGCAAACGCAAAGAACACTAGAAATAAAGACCTACCACCCATTATTTGAACAATGAACCTACAACAATCCTCCAAATATTTATTTATATTCAGCTTGCGACTGAGAAATGGATTCACAAATACTCAATTACCTCTTTCAACTACCTTCGACTTAATCAAGCCCAATCATCACTGGCAAGAAGGCAGGTAATTTATTCCGATTCTAAGAACAAACATCTTTCATCCTTCTAAATTATGCAAAATTCACTTTTAGCTTAACACATATTTGGTGTGAACTTCAATTTAAAAATCACCTACTAAATTCCATAATACAATAACATAGTCAAACATAAACAGCTAAGGGGCCACAGTAGTCACAGTAGAGAACAATAAGTGTTTTTCACATAACTCTAAAGTAATCAAATTGGTAATTTAGGAAATGTCAGGATGTATCATCATAATCTAAGAGTTATCACTTATTCCATGAATGCTGCCTTTTTTCAAAACGTTCTTGGGAGTCTTCTTCAGAAAACGCTTCTAGTTTCACTCCAATCCCAAAGAAAGGCAATGCCAAAGAATGTTCAAATTATCACACAATTGTACTCATCTCACACACTAGCAAAATAATGCTCTAAATTCTCCAATCTAGGCTTCAAATGTACGTGAACCAAGAACTTCCAGATGTTCAAGCTGGATTTAGAAAAGGCAGAGGAACCAGAGATCAAACAATCAAATGCTGGATCATAGAAAAAGCAAGAGAACTCCAGAAAAACATCTACTTCTGCTTTATTAACCATGCTAAAGGCTTTGACTGTGTGGATCACAACAAACTGTAGAAAATTCTTAAAGAGATGGGAATATAAGACCACCTTACCTGCCGCCTGAGAAATCTGTATGCAGGTCAAGAAGCAACAGTCAGAACTGGACATGGAACAATGGACTGGTTGGAAATTGGGAAAGGAATATGTCAAGACAATATATTGTCACCCTGCTTATTTAACTTATATGCAGAGTACATCGTGCAAAATGCTGGGCTGGATGAAGCACAAGCTGGAATCAGGATTGCTGGGAGAAATAACAATAACCACAGAGATGCAGATGACACCACCCTCAGGGAAGAAAACGAACAGGAACTAAAGAGTCCCTTGATGAAAGTGAAAGAAGAGAGTGAAAAAGTTGGCTTAAAACTCAACATTCAGAAAACTAAGATCATGGCATCTGGTCCCATCACATCATGGCAAATAGATGGGGCAACAGTGGAAACAGTGGCTGACTTTATTTTTCTGGACTCCAAAATCACTGCAGATGGTGACTACAGCCATGAAATTAAAAGATGCTTGGTCCTTGGAAGAAAAGCTATGACCAACCTAGACAGCATATTAAAAAGCAGAGACGTTACTTTGCCAACAAAAGTCCGTCTAGTCAAAGCTATGGTTTTTCCAGTAATCATGTATGAGTGTGAGATTTGGACCATAAAGAAAGCTGAGTGCCGAAGAATTGATGCTTTTGAATTGTGGTGTTGGAGAAGACTCTTGTGAGTCCCTTGGACTGCAAGGATATCAAACCAGTCAATCCTAAAGGAAATCAGCCCTGAATCTTCACTGGAAGGAATGATAGTGAAGCTGAAGCTCCAATACTTTGGCCACCTGATGGGAAGAACTGACTCACTGGAAAAGACCCTAATGCTGGGAAAGACTAAAGGTAGTAAGAGAAGGGGACACAGAGGATGAGATGGTTGGATGGTATCACTGACTTGATGGACATTAGTTTGAGCAAGTGGTGATGGACACGAAAGTGTCAGATATGACTGAGTGACTGAACTGAACTGATCAGGCAAAAAAGTCAAATGACTTTACAGTTAAACATCTTGGGGGGAAAATGGAATTTCCTAGCTCAGTTTATTCATCTAACTCACTGGACTTGAAAGTGGAAAAAAGTGAAAGTGAAAGTGTTAGGTCTTTCAGTCCTGTCCTACTCTTTTTGACATCATGGACTATAGCCTGCCAGGCTCCTGTGTCCATTGAATTCTCCAGGCAAGAATAACAGAGTGGGTTGCCATTTCCTTCTCCAGGAGATCTTCCCAGCTCAGGGATCAAACCTGGTCTCCTGCACTGAAGGCAGATTCTTTATCTGAGCCACCAGGGAAACCCTAGACTTGAGATCTTATTAATTTGTAGCAGTCATTAAAATCAACATTTATGCTAAGGACATTCAAAGAATTGATGATAATCTCTGAAGGAAATTTTTTAAATGTTTAAAACCTTCTTAACTTCATACTGGTTTTTCATCTTACTATAGTAGCTCTAAGTCATATATCTAAGCACTATTTTAAATTTACTTAAAGTCTAAAATATATTTCTTGGCAAAAAGAAAAAATTTATTTTCCTATTCCATAAACTCAGTTTTTACTTTTTTGTCTCTTTTACATCCAAATAGTTAAAAGCTCCATTCAAACCTACTTCCCTAAATAATTCTTAAAGGATACCAGGAGAAAACAAAGAACAACAGATTGGAAAGAGAAAATGAAGAAAGCCAAAATGGAATGAAGGAATTTTTTGAGAGAAAAAGATAAAAGAGAGAGAAGACAGTCACATATATTCACACACATGAGCACACTCATCATGGTAACCATTTTTAAAGCTAGTTCTCAGATTAAAACAACACTGTACGTGTATGTAGTTTTATCAACTGCAGCCTAAACTTACTGTTTGTTTGAAGCCTAAAGGCAGAAAGTAAAGGTTATAAAAGGCAAAACTCCAAAGGATTCTGCATTATCTTCTTCACAATCTGAGTAATTATTTCCTGGTTTCCTGTATCCAATAAGAAGATTCAGATCTGGGATTCTGAGAGGCACAACTTGATCTGTTTTCTAATCAGTACTGAACTGTGTCACTTGTGAAAAGAAGCTGATTTTAAAGATAAAATTATGAGGAGGGAAGGGCAATATAGGAGTAGGGAAGTACAAGGTACAAACTATTAGGTATAAAATAAGCTACAAGGTTATACTGTACAACACGAGAAATACAATCAATATTTTATAATAATTATAAGTGGAGAATAACTTTTAAAAATTGTGAATCACTATACTGTATACCTGTAACATATAATATTGTATAGGAACTATAATTAAAAATATAACTATGAAAAATACATTTATTTTATACAGGCATTGCATATAATATTTTGTTGTGCTTTGCAAATATCATGTTTTTTAACAAGCTGAAGGTCTGTGGCAATTCTGTATTTAGCAAGTCTATTGGTTCCATTTTTTCAATAGAAATTTGTTCACTTTGTGTCTATGTCACATTCTGGTAATTCTTACAGTATTTCAAACTTTTATATCTATTATTATTAACAATAATATTAATTGTTATTATTTGTTACAGTGATCTGTGGTTTCTAATCCTTGATATTACTAATATAATTGTTTTGGGGTGCTATGAACTGCACCCATATAAGATGGTGAACTTGATAAATACTGGTCGGTTGCTCCACCGACCAGCTGTAAAACCCCATCTCTCTCCCTCTCGGGGGAGCCTTCCTAAGTCTCTGAAGCACAAAAATATTGAAATTAGACCAATCAATAACCCTACAATGACCAAGTGTTCAAATGAAGGAAGACTTATACACACTTCTCACTTTAAATCAAAAGCCAGAAATGGTTAAGCTTAGTGAGGAAGACGGGTCGAAAAGATAGGCCGAAAGCTAGGTCTTTAGCTCCAAACAGTTAGCCAAGTTGTGACTGCAAAGGAAAAAGTTCTTCAAGAAAATTAAAAATGCTACTCCAGTGAAAACATAGATGATAAGAATGCAAAACAATGTGGAGAAAAGTTTTAGTGGTCTGGATAAAAGATCAAACCAGCCACAACATTTCCTTAAGCCAAAGCCTAATCTAGAGCAAGGTCCTAACTCTCTTTAATTCTACAGAGACTGAAAGAGGTGAGAAGCTGCAGAAGGAAAGTTTGAAGCTAGCAGAAGTGGGTTCATGAAGTTTAAGGAAAGAAGCTGGCTCATATAGAACAGACTTTTGGACTCTGTGGGAGAAGGCGAGGGTGGGATGATCTGAGAGAATAGCATTGAAACATGTATATTATCAAGTGTGAAAGAGATCACCAGCCCAGGTTGGATGCATGAGACAAGTGCTCAGGGCTGGTGCACTGGGAAGACCCAGAGGGAAGGGATAGGGAGGGAGGTGGGAGAGGGGATCAGGATGGGGAACACATGTAAATTCATGGCTGATTCATGTAAATGTATGGCAAAAACCACTACAATATTGTAAAGTAATTAGCCCCCAACTAATAAAAATAAATGGAAAGAGAAAAAAAAAAAGAAGCTGTCTCTATCACATAAAAGTGCAAAGTGAAGTAGCAAGTGCTGATATGGAAGCTGCAGCAATTTATCCAGATCTAGCTGAGATAATGAATAAAGGTGGCTACACTAAATAACAGATCAATGTAGACAAAACAGCCTTCAATTGTAAGATATTGCCACCTAGGACTTTCATAGCTAGAGGGAAGTCAATACCTGGCTTCAAAGTCTCAACAGGCTGACTCTCTTGTTAGGGGTTAATGTAGCTGGTGACTTAACAGTGAAGCCAATGCTCATTTAACATTCTGAAAATTCCATGGTCCTTAAGAATTATAATAATCTACTCTGCCATTGCTTTATAAAGGGAACAACAAAGCCTGGATGACAGCATATATGCTTACAACATGGTTTACTGAATATTTTAAGCCTACTCTTGAGAACTACTGCTCAGAAAAGAAGATTCCTTTCAAAATATTATCGTTCACTGACAACGTCACCCAAGAGCTCTGATAGAGACGTACAAGATTCATGCTTTTTCATGCCTCATAACAAAACGTTCATTCTACAGCCCATGTATCAAGAAGTGATTTCTACCTTCAAGTCTCATTATTTAAGGAATCCATTTCTTGAGGCTACAGCTGCCATAGATAGTGATTTCTCTGATGGATCTGAGCAAAGTCAACTGAAAACCTTCTGGAAAGGATTTACAATTCTAGATGCCATTAAAAGTATTTGTGATTCATGAGAAGCAGTCAAAATGTCAACAAGAACAGGAGTTTGGAAAATGTTAGTTCCAACCCTCATGGATGACTATGAGGGGTTCAAGACTTCAGTGAAGGAAGTTTTGAATATGGTGGAAATAGCAAGAGAACTAGAATTAGAAGTGAAGCCTGATCATGTGACTGAATTGCTGCAATCTCATGATAAAACCCATGATGGATCAGGAAATGCTTCTTATGGATGAGCAAAGAAAGTAGTTTCTTGAGAAGGAATGTATTCTTGGGGAGGATGCTATGAAGACTGTTGAAATGACAACAAAGGTCACATAATTATATAAATCTTGTTGATCAAGCAGTGGCAGGGTTTGAAAAGACTGACTCCCATTCTGAAAGGAGTTCTACTGTGAGTAGAATGCTATCAAACATCCATGCATGCTATAGAGAAGTTGTTCGTGAAAAGAAGAGTCAATTGATGCAGCAAACTTCACTGTTAAGAAACTGCCACAGTCACCCCAACCACTCTGATCAGTCAGCCATGAGCATTGTGGTGAGACCCTCCCCCAGGCAAAAAGACTGTGACTCACTGAAGGCTCAGATGATAGTTAGCATTTGTCAGCAACAAAATATTTTTAATTTAAGGTATGTGCACACTTAACACTCTCTAGTATAGTGTAAACATAACTTTAATATGCACTGGAAAAACAAAAGCTTTATGTGACTAACTCTATTGTGATATGTATGTGCTTTATTTTGCAGGTCTGAAACTGAACCTACAATAACTCCAAGATATGCCTGTATTTAGAATAAATGTTTTTTCTTCAAATAGAACTGAAAACTAAACAATTGGTATAAAATTAAACTTGACTTCTCTTTAGAATAGATCAAATGCTACTTCAACCAGTAAACTTATAAATGTGAATAAACTTAACCTAAAGACTTAAAATCAACTATAAATCATTATATCCTTCACATATAACTGTGTTATATGATCTTGAGGCAGAACACTTTATAATGACAAGTATTTTTCATTGTTGACTCTAGTAATTCTAATTTTGATAACACTAAAAAATTGATCCACATACATACTACTTTAAATTGGCATACATACTTGAATCTAGGTTGGATTCTAAAGTGAGAATGCGTTGCTGTGTTTCCATGTTAAAGATGCTTGTGTATCCCTTGCTGAATGATGCTACCATATGGCTTGGGTCACTGCTCACCAGATCCACAGAGGCAGGGACTCCCAACTCTATAAGTCAAACATATTAGAAGAGAATGTCAGTCAGGGTATACTTTACAATATGTTTCAAATACAGCAGAACAAGCAGCCATGTAAGAAGAAAACAAAGCTCATTAGCTCTTTTAGTCCTAGTTTGTTTTACTATCCTTACTTATTTACCACATCTTCTACCAGTCACTCAGCTACTGTATTTACTGAATCCAAGCCTTTATTTAGGGATAAATGGAAAACATATGGACTACAAATTTTTCTACTTCCATCTCAAATCAACCTGAGGTTTAGAGTGGCATCACGGGAATTCTTCATTTTAAAAGCCCATCTAACTTTAGTGAGTTACTAGGAATTCTAATTCACTAAAAATATGGAATTCAAGAAGCAAAATTCCAAATTGCTATTTATTGATAGAGTCATAAAAACATCAAATGCAGGCAACTCATCAAAACCTAGGCACAAGTTATGGCAGCTCACGAATAAAGAAGACAATTTTATTTATCATTTAGAATTGGGTAAAACTTGGTTAAAATCTGGAACTTATTTGTAAATATTAAAAATGAAATTCTATGTATACATGATCATAATCTGATTTTTTAAACCTGGTTCAAAATCTAAGTAAACTAACAATTCAAAAATGTGTATCTTCCAGAAGAAGATACATTAATGGACAATGAGCAGACAAAAAAAGTCCTCAAAATAGCCACCAAAGAAATACAACTTAAAAAGACAATGAAATACAGCTGCACACACCCATCAAAATGGCTAAAATTAACTACACTATCAACAACAAATGTTTGTCATTAAGGATGTAGGGTGCCTGGAATTCTCACACATTGCAATCAGTGGTAAAACATGGCACAACCACTTTCAAAGAAAGTTTGCCTCATAAAGTTAAATAGTTAAATACATAAATCTACTTCTAGAGCCCCTAAATTCTATTTACAGGTCTTTACCTGCCTGTGATTAAAAAAGAAAATACAAATGTTCATAGGAGTTTTGTTCATAATAGGAAAAATCTAGAAACAAGCCAAATGTTCATCAAGAGGTAAATTATAAACAAAGTGGTTTAAAGAAATACTACAAATAATAAAATTAAATTATTAACATTTATTACCACATGGATAAACAACAAGAACATTACAGTAAGAGTAAACTGTCAGATGTAAAAAGAGTATACATTGTACAACTTCATTTATATGAAGTTTTAGAATAGACAAAACTAATTTATAACAAAAGAAACCATAACAGTGGGTACCTCTGGTTGGGAACGAGGGGAGGAGATGACTGTGAATAACACAGAGAAACTTTCGGGCACTGAAGGAAATGTTCTCTACCTTGATAGAAGCAAAACTTTCATGCATTTGTCAAACTCATGAAAATGTATCCTTAATATTTGTTTTTGACTGTATATAAATTATTTCAATTTTTAAAAATTCAAAACAAATGCCTGCTACTTCACCAAATAATATGCTTCTTAAAATTATACATACTAAATTGGAAAGTCAAGCAAATATATTTTCACTGCTTAAAAAGAAAACCCTTCAAATTGAATTTAGAACAGTAAGAGCCTATAGAATCATCTACTTGTTTCTTTTAGAATAAGACATTTTATAAAAGACTCTGTAAGAAAAAGGAGAAAAAGGCACGTACCTTGGTTATCATTAAACACACTCAAGGCTGGAGCAACCTCAGTGGTATTCCACAAACGGAGAGTGCCATCTGCTGAACAGGACAACAAACGCTGGTGCGCTGCACTGTAGGCCAAGCCCCAGACTGCATCCGTGTGGCCCAAGAGAGGGCCTCTTAAGACAGAAGGATCTGCAAGAACAGCAAGAATGCAGGGCAAAAGCACAAATCATAAAGGCACTGAGAGAGTCCAGTGGAAAGTAAAATATACAAACAGAAAGTATAAAATATACTTCCTCGTTTCTATTATTCTTTTGAAATGCAGCAAGAACAGGCCTGGAAACAATGCAAATATAGGGTTTAAAATGTCTAAATTAAAATTTTAAAGTACATATTTTTCTCCTTAAAAAGATCAGCCATTTCTTTCTTCCTCCCTTTTTTTCTTCCCATTTGTCTGATTTTTTTTTTTTAAAGCATGTTAACACAAGCCATTAGGATTTAATCTACTCTCAGAGAAACCACAACTCACATTCCCTGAGGCAGTGAACAGAGACCCTTTCCCTCCTCTGAGCCCTTCAGCACCTGGCACACATCCTTCAGGTCACTTGTGCTGTGATGGTGTGACTACCATCTTACCGCTTGGGAGCAACAGGTTTCTAACATTCTTAATGGACATGAACTGAGACCTACAGAAATCCCCGAATTCTCAAACAAGACATACAAATGATATGCATGTGGTGGTGGGGGGGGGGGGTGGGGAGCCAGGAAAGAGCATTTCATGATAAAAGCCAAATTGGAAATTTTACTTATTCACCCTCACAATGACTCTAGAAGTTGTACTTTCAAGATAGTTCAGAGATGTTAAGTTTACAATGTCACTGGTGTTATTTGTTCTATATCCTCTTTAGTTATACCATAAAATATTTACTGAAGATACACTGTGTATTTGGCACTATGCTAGATGCAGGGGTCATGCAGATAATTAGACACAATACCAGCTCTGTCTTCAAAAAGTAATGTGGTTTAAGTACAATAACAGTGGCAGGAACCAGTTACTAAAGAGAGTGACTGGACACTTGGAAAGAATGACACCTAGAGTGTATAGATGTTGGCTTGTCAAAGGGCAGAGGGAAGGCATTCCTGGCAAAGGAGGCAGCTCCTACAAACTCAAAGAAGGAAAAATAGAATGCTATGTCAGGACATTTATAAGAAATTCAGTATTACTGGACTGTGAAATTTGAGGCAAGAAGTGGATGAGATGAGAGTGGCCAGTTTATGGTGGGATGCCTATGACATACTTAGTAAATTACCCTAAAAGCAACAGAGAAACACTGAAAGGATTCCCAGAATCAGCAGTGTGAAGCAAGTATTTAATATGGTAACTCTGATTACAGTGTAGAAGAGATTGTAAAGAAACAAGATAAAGGCAAGTGGACTGTTTCAGAAGACTGGGAGAGTGAAGATGAAAATCAAAGCAAGGACAGTGATAAAAGGGACAGAAAAGGAGTAAATTCAAGAAAATTTAGGGGGTATTAACAAAAAGGTATAGTAATTAGTAAATGATAGATAGTAAAATAGTACAAAGAATCAAGGATAACTCTTGGGTTTCTAGTTTGGATAAGTTTGGTAGTGCCACCACCTGATAAAGAATATACAAAGAATATTTGAAAACAGACTTCCCTAATAGTCTAGTGGTTAGGACTTGGTGCTCTCACTGCCAGGGCCATGGGTTCGATCCCTGGTTGGGGAGCTAAGATTCCCCCAAGCTGCGGCCAAAAAAAATTAAGAATATATGGAAGGTGGGAATGCAAACTAGTACAGCCACTATGGAAAACAGTGTGGAGATTTCTTAAAAAGCTGTAAATAGAACTGCCATATGACCCAGCAATACCACTTCTGGGCATACACACCAAGGAAACCAGATCTGAAAGAGACACATGCACCCCAATGTTCATCGCAGCACTGTTTATAATAGCCAGGACATGGAAGCAACCTAGATGCTCATCAGCAGACGAATGGATGAGGAAGCTGTGGTACATATACACCATGGAATATTACTCAGCCATTAAAAAGAATTCATTTGAATCAGTTCTAATGAGATGGATGAAACTGGAGCCCATTATACAGAGCGAAGTAAGCCAGAAAGATAAAGACCATTACAGTATACTAACACATATATATGGAATTTAGAAAGATGGTAACGAAAACCCTATATGCAAAACAGAAAAAGAGACTCAGATGTATAGAACAGACTTGTGGACTCTGTGCGAGAAGGCGAGGGTGGGATGTTTCAAGAGAACAGCATCGAAACATGTATATTATCTAGGGTGAAACAGATCACCAGCCCAGGTTGGATGCATGAGACAAGTGCTCGGGCCTGGTGCACTGGGAAGACCCAGAGGGATCAGGTGGAGAGGGAGGTGGGAGGGGGGACCGGGATGGGGAATACATGTAAATCCATGGCTAATTCATTTCAATGTATGACAAAAACCACTGCAATGTTGTAAAGTAATTAGCCTCCAACTAATAAAAATAAATGGAAAAAAAAAAAGAATATATGGAAGAAGAAACAGTGCTTGTAGGGATTTATGGACAATGAGACAGCCATTTTCAAATGCTGTGTAGGAAGTCTCAGGCTTAAAAAAAAGATTGATGAGTCAACAGTATATAAAACCACAAAGTGGATTCAGTCTACCAAAGAATATGTATACAACGCAAAAAACGAGTTAGGGTCTAGCCTCAATAAATGTCAATATTTTTAAGGTGAGAAAAATAAAAGGAGTTTATGACGGATAGGGGATAGAAATTGTCATACAGTTGTGTCAAAAAAGGCTATAGTGAAAAGATTTCAAAAAGGATAGAGTGGTCCACAGTTTCAGACAGCCAGTACATCAAGTAAAGTAAGAACTGTAAAATATCCCTTGGATCAGCCAGTTAGTTATTGATACTTCTTTGCATTTAAGTGGCACAGCCACAAACAGAATGAAGAGGGATGATGCACAGTGAAAGAACATGGAATCAATAACTAATAATTGTGTTTTCTAGACCAAAGAGACATGGGAAGAAAGAGAGGCTAGAAAGATGGTAACGATGACCCTATATGCAAGACAGCAAAAGAGACACAGATGCACAGAACAGTCTTTTGGACTCTGTGGGAGAAAGCAAAGGTGGGATGATTTGAGAGATAGCATTGAAACATGTATATTATCATATGTGGAACAGATCGACAGTTCAGGTTCAGTGCATGAGACAGGGCGCTCAGGGCCGGTGCACTGGGATGACCCTGAGGGATGGGATGGGGAGGGAGGAGGGGAGGAGGTTCAGGATGGGGGACACATGTCCACCCATGGCTGATTCATGTCAGTGTATGGCAAAAACCACCACAATACTGTAAAGTAATTAGCCTCCAATTAAAATAAATAAATTAAGAGAAAAAAAAAAAAAGAACCAGAGAAGGAAATGGGAGTCACAAAAGGCTTCTTCTTGCCCAGGATGGGAGAAACTTGAATTTACTATATGCTCAGGGGATGGAAAGAGCAAAAAGGGTAAGTCTTCAGATGAGCACAAAAAAGAGAGGCAGCAAAAAAGAAAAGAGAGTGCAGTCTCAAAGGAAACGAGAAGGAGGTCAACAGTGAAAGGGAAAGGGTTGGCTTGGGACAGAATGAGGTCAACTGATCTCTGAAAGAGGGATAAAGGAAATGACGAAAAGTATGAAACAGATAAATCCAGAAGAGAACTGCAGCAGGAGAGAGGGTGTTATCTTTCACAAAATATATGTTAAATGCTTACTAAATAAATGTTGGGAGAATATTTTGGTTACTGAATTCCTTATCTTTACTTAGGTTTAGTGGTAAAATTAATCTAAAATGATAATAAAAATAAACTATGGGTTTATGACAAATATGACACTCCATACCATTCTAGAATTTATGGAGAATTTAAAGAGAAAATCAAAATAGTTGAAAGCGAATTTATGATAATATCTAGTGACAGATTATACAATTTTTTGATTCATGGTGCTGTTTCCAAATCTAAAGGGTACTTCTTAATTTTTAAAAGTCTTTTAAATATTTTGGTGTTATACACTTTGAAAATCATTAGCCTCTATACTCTGTAAATAATAGATCAAGAAGATGATGCCAACATTCATTTCCCTTCAAAAATATTTGTCAAGAATAGTGACAAAATATGATTATAGATTATAAACAATGTATCAAGTACTGCACACATGCCTACAAATGAAGAAAACAACTGTCAATCAAGCCAGCATTTTCAATCAGTAAGACTTGGGGGTGGGAACTCTTTTCTCAGGAAAAATACATTATTCTCCCTCTTTTTTTTAGCATTACATATATATCAAATTGATTCCCAAATACAGAAACCCTTTTTAACAAAACAAATTTATTTTCAAAAACATCTCATTTTATCCATATATATGCAATATAAACTGCATAAAAATAAAGCATTTTATTCCTTCATATTCTGGGGGAGTCACATACCATAGGAGTCATAGGGATCGACATTGGGGTTGGTGGTGTTCCAGCTCTGGATCAGGCCATCAGCACCACCACTGTAGCACTGCTCACCACTGCTGCTCATCACCACACAAAGCACGGGGCCTCTGGGAGAAAAAACCAATTTCCATCCTCAAAACATCTATTTGACATTGGAATGAGTTAGAAATAAGAACGCTTAGTTTTTCAAACGGCTTTCTCTTTTTCTATTTTGTACAACAAATAAAATTATCAAAGCACTAATTCATTTTTCTTCCTCTGCTAAACCAGTGGTTAGTGATCTATGGCCTATGGATCAAATCCAACCAGTGAACTGTTTTTGTACAATCCTAAAGCACTTACAGTTTCTACCTTTTTAAAATGTTTTAATACAAAACTAAACTAAAAGCAAGAATATACATTAAATACGCAGCCTAAAAAGCATTTACTATCTGACCCTTTTTATATGTAAAACGTATGCCAACCTCTGTGCTAAAATCAAGTGAACAGGTACATTTCTTAAACTTAAATGGAAACAGGAAAAGCATGAAATGTGACCACAATTTTTTAAATGTCTCAGGTATTTTTACCTAGGTTATCTTTAAGGAAAAATAGATCAGGATTTCTAATAGTTAAACTTAACTGCCTCAACTTCATTTTAAGAGAGAGATATATACATCATCTAAACATCATGCAAATAATACCTAATTTCAGCAAGGATCCCTATTTGGTAGTGATATACTTGTTAATATTACAATATCTGCCACTTTCTTTTACATTTACAAAAAAATATGCTACCAAATATAAAAAAAAAAAATACCACAAATACATACATGAAAGAAAATAAAATATACTAATCAGACTGATTTACAATGATGTTGATTTAACACAAAGAAAAAGCACACACTTACTTATGAGCTCTGAATGTATAGATAGGCTCCACATCAAGAGACGTGCTCCTAAATCAGAGAGAAAGGAGGATTTTTTTTATCATTCTAAAAGTCAGTAGTAAACAGTATGACTGAATGTATGTCATAAAAATGCCCCTAGAAATATCAGCACTATGGTAATATACCATTCTCAACCCCAGGACACAATAAAGCTTACTTAACACCAATCACATATTTTTGTGACTTCAGGAAACAAATTCTTCTTTAGTAACAATATCCTGTTCTAGCATTTTTAGCACTGTCCTAATCTATTTGATTAAAGGGGGAGAGAGAGCCTCACTCAGGGAGAAAACACATGGGTTTTGAAGAGATAAATTTCTGGATTTAATTTCCAGTTCTGTATCTAATTGGCTAACTTCAGGCAAATTATTTAGTCTTTTGAAACTTTAGATTCCTCTATGTTTAATATAAAATAGAAAAATAGGTATAACAGCAAATATTTACAAGATTAAATGAGATTCTTCAAGGTAAAACAGCCTAGGACAGAACCATACAGAACAGAATTTCAAAGTTACTTTAATTTCCTTGCCATTTCCATAAAGATTAACATGTCTGTCCTTAATACCTGCAGAAACTGTCCACATTAGATTTGGACATTAGAATAGATTATTCATTACTCAGAACACTGAGTGTATGAGTACTCTACATGGCTAATACTGGCCATAACTGAGAACAGAAACTGGATTTAAAATTGGATTGTATTACAGATTTTTTTTAATAGGTATATGATAGCTCTCCTTATTTCCAAAGTTTTAAGTTCAAAGGTAAACAAAGGCTATTGATACTTGCTTGTGAAGGTGTTATTACTAAGCTACCACCAGCAAGAAATTTCAATATATTTCAAAGTTATAGTCAAGAATATATGATGAGATACTCACATTCTCTCATCTAATATGATGCCCACTGTGAACTAAAGAACTTGAAGAACAAAAGGCACAGTTTGCAACCAGGAAATACCTTTTCTCTGTTAAAGACACCTGATCTACATGAAGATTCACTTGGTTTTAGCAAGATTCAGTTGAGCTGTCTGATGAACGTCTACGTATGACAGCTGGAATGTCACTGATTGCTTTCAAATTGGGCAGGAGATATTCTCTGTCAGTAGTAAAACTTCCATCCTCTCCTCCATTTGATGTTCATTTCTACTCTTTAATAAAAAGAGGTATCTATCACTGTAGAAGGGCCCTTCCTGGTAGATACTGGGTTCTGGACCATGTAATCCAAGGAAGAAAGAGAAAGTACCAAGTGGGGTCAGGACTAGCTTGGTGACTGATAAAAGGGGTTTATACCAATTCATGCCTGTCCATGCTTACGGAGGAACCAAGTGGTCAAGGCAAGTATTAGCAGGTAAGTGAGAGCAGCAACAGTGCCCTTCAGTCTAGACATTTCGGTCAAGATCAAAAGAAAAGATCAAAGAGAGGTCTCTTGCCCCCACCCGCTCCAGTATCCCCTATCACTTCTCTCCCTTCTGCTCTGTAAGTCCAAACATAGTAAACAATGGGGAAGGATTGGGGTTGGGGTTTGACGATTTTAAACATGACTATGCCTGCTTACAACAACAACAGAAACCTCCAGTACAGACAAAGGGTTCCTGAAATGTAACAGTTATTTAAAACACCAAATAAAGATTATAACCAGCATTCACAAACCATTTCTCCCTAAGGGTCAGTTCTTCAACCTAAATTAGCTTATGAGTATGAAGGCAAAACACCCTAAATTACATGACATGGTAAAGGAAAACAATTGGAAGAGATATTTGGGGAATTTAACAGCAAATAATAAAGTAAGGCTTTCTCTGCTAAAAAAATGTTAATTAAATTATTCAAATACAGTTAAAGTAGAATATTCTCACTTTTTGGCTGGGGCTGTTTTCTGCAAATTCCACATTTTTAACGTGTGATCCTCTGATGCTGTTATCAAAACAGGCTCAGTGGGGTGGAAAGCGAGGGCTCTAATGCCATCAAAGTGACTTCTTAATGTAAACTTGGGGTTCCATGTCTTCCTCAATGCATCTTTATTGTTTGCTATCTATTAAAGAAACAAAAGATACCAATATACTTAGTTCAGAATGGGGGAAAAAAATGGTATTTCAGCATTAATTCTGTTTCAGGATTAAACTGTCATTATTTTGCAACTTTCAAAGTAATATAATTTTTAAACATATATATTGATTTGATATATCAAATCAATAGGCAAAATTAGCAATATGTCAACAATGGTTTTCTTTGAAGAAATATGAATGATATAATAAGAAAACACATAATTCAGTATAGAAGGAGGATCAAATAACTTAGTAACAAAAAAATGATTTCAACCTGAATTATAGAATAGAAAGCAATTTTAGGTAAGAGTTGAAAAACTAAATTATCTTTAAACATGTTATCATTACAGAATATGATGATACTTTCAAAATTTTCAACGGTTTCAGACAAGAGCTAAATTTTCTTCAAATTGGTAATGAAATTTATATACTGGCAACAAAATGCTAAAATTGGAAGAGACAATCAGATATTACAAACATAATAATATATTTATTATGTTCCTTTTCTCCACAGAGGGCTTCCCTGGTAGCTCAGATGATAAAGAATCTGCCTGCAACACGGGAGACCTGGGTTCAATTCCTGGGTTGGGAAGATTCCCTGGAGAAGGGAACAGCAACCTACTCCAGTATGCTTGCCTGGAAAATCCCCACGGACAGAGGAGCCTGGTAAGGCTATGGTCCATGGGGTCACAAAGAGTAGGACACGACTGAGTGACTTTCACTTTCTCCACAGAATCTCAATCTCAACAACTGAAAAAATAATGCACTGTTTTTTCATTCCAACTAATAAAAAAGCTAAAGAGGATAGTGTTTGGCTTTACACAAGCACCATGAATGGTAGATTTAAGCAAGTATTTGCAATATATTGGAGACATGTTACCATACTCACAGTTACAAAAACTGTCAATGATACAACTGATATTCTAAGCAGCATTCATTATTTTCTACATTATTCAAAAGACTTAAAAAGCATTAACTCCCTTAATCCTCACAACTCTATGATGTAGGAATTAACACTATTATAGACTAGGCATTTTAGGGGAAGAGAAGTTAAGTGGCTTGCCATCTAGTAAATGGAGGGGTCAGGATTCAAAATCAAGCAGTCTGGTTTCAGAGGCTATACTATTAAACTGTAATTTAGAACCCCAAAATTTAAAAATCTGCAGAGAAATTTGGACAGGACATGTCCCAATTGGGGCAACGCATGTGTGCTAAGTTGTTCCAGTCGTGTCTGGTTATTTGCGACCCTATGAACCATAGCCCATTAGGTTCTCTGTCCATGGGATTCTCCAGGCAAAAATACTTGAGTGGGTTGCCATGCCCTCCTCCAGGGGATCTTCCGGACCAGGGATTGTCTCTTTTGTCTCCTGCACTGACAGACGGGTTCTTTACCACTAGCGCCACCTGGGAAGCAATAAGTGAAGACGAAACACATTAGGCAAGGAACTACTCTAAGAGTGGGGCTGATTATTTTGGGGGCAGGCAGGGCTGGCAGGAAGGTTAAAACGACAAGGGCAACTGAGCTGACCTCTGCTACTCTTATTAAAGAGCTAAAAGGTTTTCATGTGGAAGAGTACTTAAATTCCTTTGATTATCTTGATGTGGTAGGCAGCCACTAAGTTCCCAATCGGCCCCACCTATTTTTACCTTTGGGTAGACCCCTTCCCTGGTGACTCCGATGGTAAAGAACCTCCCTGGAATGTGGGAGACGCAGGTTCATCCCCTGGAAGGAAATGGCTACCACTAAAGTATACTTGCCCAGAGCATCCCATGGACAGAGAAGCCTGGCAGGCTACAGTCCATGGAGTCATAAAGAGTTGGACACAACTGAGCAACTAACACATTCACACTTCCATGTTATAGGGCTGCTCTCTGACCAACAGCATACAGCGGAAGTTGGAACAAATAACTTTCAAAATTAGGTTATAAAACCTTTCATCTTAAGTGTTTCTTCTCTCTATCTTTTCAGGTGCACTCACATTGGGAAAAGCCAGCTGCTCTATTGAGGAGCCCACAGAGGGGTCCATGTGGTAAGGAACTGGTCCCCAGCCAAGAGTCAGCCAGGAACCAAGGCCTTCAAACAACTACATGAGTGAGCCTGGAAGCAGATTTTCCTCAAGTCAAGTCTAGGTAAAACTGCAACTCTTGTCAATGTCTTGATTACAGCTATACAAACAGCCAGAGTCACATAATTAAGCTGTCCCCAGACTGCTGACCCATGGAAGATGTGAGATATAAATGTTTGTTCTTTTAAGCTATTAAATGTGGTACAAGTTGTTATGCAGCAATAGATTGCTAATATGCTTAATAAAACTAGGAACTACTTTTAGAAACTGAGACAGACTATGTTTTCTAACAAGTAAGAGTTACGAAAAAAAGGATGAGCTTTCTCCAGAAAGAGGACTGAATTCCTTTATGTATTAAACAAACTCTTTGCAGGAACAAAAGCATCTAATGGGAATTTCTGCTTCTGGTCATGATGGACTAGATCATTAGGACCAACTGTGTACTGAGAACAAGTAGAATAGCAAAGCTAAGAATAAAAAAATCTAGAACTAACAAAATGGTGGGAAAAAACCTAGGATCCAGGTGAAGACAGAGGCCTACAGAAGTGAGCCTGATATCTGGAACTGTTATCCCCAGAGAGTGTTTACTGATTGCAGAAGAGATGGCTGAGAGGTTGACCTGTGCTTCTGATGACTTTGCAAGGCAGAGAGATATAGATTGATGTCCAGGGCCTGCCAAGAAAGTAGGATTTAGTAGACCACGCTTTAGGTTTTGATTTCAGAAGGCTGTATCCTACACATAAGAGTGAACTAGAAGAACAAAAGCCCTTAAAAGATTGTAGATCAGCTTCAGATCACCTCAAAAATGAAAAATGAAGCAGGTGATCCAGATTTCTAGTGGCTGCAGACATCTGAGAAAAGAAAATGAAAATACACTCTTTGTGGAAAGATATAAACTTAGGCCTGAAATTATTTCTAGAGACAATTTTTCAAATATAGTTATTTGGACACAGTACAAAATAACCATACCTATATGAGATACAACAGAATAAATGAAAACAAACAGAAACGACACATAATAGTAACAGAACTACTACTGAGTCTCTGATTCAAAGTTTAAAGTAATCATGCTTATTATGTTCAAGAAGATAAAAGACTGAAAGTTCTGGAAGAAATCTGTAAATAATTTTTAAATAGTAACCCTAGAAGCAAAGATATAAGATCTCACTAGATGAGTTTAATTACAGATTACATATAGCTAAAGAGAGAATTAGCTAACTGGAAGATGAGTCATTAAAAAAATCTAGACTGAAATACAGAAAAACAAAAGATGGAAAACACAGAAGAAAGGGGATCAGAAACAGAGAATATAGAAAGAGGATCTAACAATATAACAACAGTTCTAGAAGAAGAAAAGAGGGAGGGAGAGAGATGTAAAAGCAGTATCTAAAGAGAATGACTGAGAACATTACAGAACTCAAGGAAACATATTAAGCCAAAAAGGTCTAAGAATTTCATGAAGGTTAAATTAACAAAAAAAAAAAACAATCAACTAAATCTTTTATGAAAATCAAAGCATAGAGAAATAACAGTCACAGGAAAAACTGTCTACTACTGAATAACCAAAAACAGAAATGACAGTTGATTTCAAGATAGAACAACAACAAAATATATTTAAAGCACTAAAAAAAAGTATGACAGAAACCAATACAATTTTTGTAAATATCCTTCAATTAAAAATAAGGGAAAAAAAGCACTAAAAAATTTTTGCAAAGTGAAATTCGAAATCAGAGATAATAGCCTACTCAGGCAAAAAAAAAAAGACAACTAAAGACAATTCAAGAAAATCAGAAACTAAGAAAGTTGGCACCAATAGATCTTCATTAAACAGATATATTGTATTCTTAGAGTAAAGGAAAAATGAACCCAGATGGGTAGTCAGATATGCAAGGGAGAATGAAAAAAGACAAGACAGTTAATGTGAAACAGATAATTCTGACTACTGAGTGTACAAAACAGAAGCTGGTAGAAGATTAATGTACACAGAAGTAAAATATTTAACAAGAATGACATATACATTGGGTGGGAGTTTTTTAAATAGAGTGTTCTAAAGATCCTTGCATATAAAATTTTGCTAAGAATGTGTGTAGTAATCTGTAATTTAAAAAGTAATGAAAGAGTACATAAACTTCAAATAATGGAGAGGAGAGAATGATAAAAAATAATCAATCCCAATTTAGGCAAAAATAGAAAAACAGAATAGGCAGCACAAAAGATGGCAGGATTAAGTACAAATATTATTAATTATTTTAAAAAGAAATTGACTAAACGCTTTCTAATTTTAAAAGGCTGTCAAAGGTTAAAAAATAAAAGCCAGCAAAATGGTGTTTTTAAAAGACATAAATTATAAGGATATAAAAACACTGAAAACAGAATTTTTTTTCCAAATCTCTATCACATATGTGGAGAATGGAATACAAGGAGCCTGTTTAGATGAGGTTATTATGGTAGATCCAGGTGAAGAAAAATGGACTAGGGGGGAAGAAAAAAGATGTACTATATGGATTCAGTTGTTGGAGATAGAACCCCAAAGACTTACTAAAGGGCTTAGCATAGAGGGAGAGAGTTTTTGATCTGCGGGAAGAGGAGTGAGTGGTGAGGTTCCTCTTTGGAATACTTCCAAGGCTCACTTAGGGATTCATGCTATATCCTCTATGTGGCTACAGCTACACAGTATTCCCCAAAGAAGAAGATGAAGTATAAAACTGAAAGGATTTTAATGAAAAGATAGGCTGTAAATACTTTATGAAATAAACAACTGTTTTTCTGATGCTTGATGACGATGAACAATTATAAAAGAACTGTGTTAACTAAATGGATGTGTGCATAAAGGTATAAAGATTCCAATTTTGGTCCAAATCACTGATAGGTCAACCTTAGCATCTGGAAAATATCTTGCATACACCTCGTCTGACAACAGCTAAAACTAGTTCTCAGCTGTTGTATTACTGACAATGTATTAAATAAGCAAGACAAATGTTGCCATTAGGCAAGCATGAATTTCAACTAATCACTGGTATCTTAAAACATAAGACAAATCCAATCTTGGTGATAGAAAAAGGAATTCTTTCCCTTATCTAAAACCAATGAATAAGCTCTACTGACTTACAGATTTAGGTAAAACCTATAATTGTAACCTGTATGATGTGAAAAGTATTGTTTATTTTTATAATATGCTCGTATTTTCAAAGTTTGTGATTAAAACTGAAACAAATTTCACACTTGTGAAGAAGTCTTACTATTGTCATCTTTTTCTATAAAATGAACTTTCTATTTTTTAAAAAGTAAATTAAAACAACATAAATAAAACTACTACTCACATCATAAGTTAATGAATCTGCTTCATTGGCCACTGTAAGGCCTGCCAATTCTCCAAGTCCCAATTCACTTTCAAGTGCTTCATCTGCTCCCATGATGAACGACTTCCCAGAAGAAGGAGGAAATGTCAGTGCTTCCACTGAAGGGAGAAGATAAGAGAAACATTAAAAAAAAACTTCCAAATAGTCAACAATTAATTTCATAAGGGCATATCTACATTTGATTATTTATAAATGCTTTCAAACACAGTAAAATTCAGTATGCAGAAAATCCTGAAGCAGTGCTTGCTTTTTTCCATATTTTAACCATTAAAGGTATCATCTAATTAGAAAAGTACAACATGAAACAAACCCTTTCTTTTTCACTATAGAAAAAAAATTTTTAAATGTATGAAAGAAAGTAGATTTTCCTCATTTGATATTTCATGCTAATTGCCCAAGTGATTTCTATTAGTTATTAAAATATGTATAGTGAGTGAGTTAATCTTTTTTAATTAATATATTTTAATTGGAGGATAATTACAATATTGTGATGATTTTTGCCATACATCGACATGAATTAGCCATGGGTACACATGTGTCCCCCCATCCCAAACCCTCCTCTCAACTCCCTCCCCATCCCATCCCTCTGGGTTGTCCCAGAGCATTGGCTTTGGGTGCCCTGCTTCATGCGTTGAACTTGAACTGGTCATCGATTTTACATATGGTAATGTACATTAAAACATGTATAGTGATTCTGAACATTGCTGGCTGCATTCAAAATAAAATTGGTTAGTTCTATAACCTAAATAATATAGAGAAATCTCAAATGAAAATGGTTCATAATTATATTAGTAAAAAGCGCCTATGTAAGGCAAAGCGAATATGTGTTATCAGAACTCAAGACTACTTCTTGAGAAGAGGGAAGGGGCAGTGTTTGAAGGCAGCACCATCAGGACTTCTAGGCCCTGGTGACGTTCTGCTTCCTGACCTAGGCAATGGTGACACGAATGGTTTTGCTTTGAGATAACTCACTGAGCTCATCCCTATGACTTTAGCAGTTTACTGTAAGTATACTATATTTCATTTTAAAATATTTATTTCAAAGAAGTTTTTTATTAAAGTGTCCATTGGAATACTTTTTATAAATGCAAATCATTCTGACAAGCCATCAGAGAATCATTCTTTAAGTAGCTGTCTCAAGGTAGTGACTTTATTGATGACAAACATTTATGAGTTGATTAGATGAATTTAGTAGTTTAACTTTGACTGCTAAAGAAGTTAGTTAACTTTTTTTTTAAGAAAAAGTCAACTGTACTAATCAATGTATGCAGAGAATAGATTTATGAGATGTTTTTCAGTTTTACATTCAATCATACAATTTTAGATTCAATCATAAATATTGAAGAAATGAAAAGAACAGCTATGAACTTTTAAAAATACTAGTGGCAAGAACTCTACTCAAAATCATTACAAGAACAAAATAGGGTATAAATTGATACATTTTCAAACCACCATACAATAAAGCTGCAATAATAAAAATGGGTTTTACCCAAACATACCACGTATCTTATGAGGGGTTTGAACAACTCTAAACATTTACTAATAAAGAGCAGGAATTGTTTCATTTAGAACAGCAATTTTCATGCCAAAATTTCAACCAAATGATTCACATGAGACTAAGAGGTTAGATCTTCAGCCAGGTGTTCTTTTGTTTGTTTTGTTTTCATGTCTAATATTGCCAGAAAGCTCGGTTCAGATATGAAGTAAAAATGGCTCTACCCCACCCCCCAAAAAAACTAAGATTTGTAATTTGGTCACTCACATTGCGTGGGCTAATTTAACTAACTGTTCTAGGAATGGCCAAGTAAAATCTGAAACAAAGGAAGGCAACCAACAACTGCTTCCACTGATACCAGTGGCTAAGCCAGCAGACCTAAGGGCCAAAGAGAGAGGGCTCCAACAGGCAAACCATTAACTGATTGCTCTCTAATAAGAGTCCTGACAACTTTCGATTAGAGGTCACATTTCTATTACTAACTAAATATTAAAGACTCTAATCAGCTTTTACAAAATAATTTAAATATGCCTCAAGTGCAGCACTGCCTTCTGAATAATTATAATAAAAATATAGTAATAAAATTACATAGCACACACAAGCTATGGAAACTTCTTCTGATACTGGACTGGAGACTGAAAAGCATCAGTCACAGGCAATTAAATCTACAACATATTTCTTAACTGCCTTTTCCACTTGTGAAAATTCTGTACTGTGGGAGCAGACATAGGACCAATACTACAGATCATATATTAGACATTCAAGACTTCCGTTCTAAAGGTTCTTAAATTTTTTTTTAATTAGGGGCATTTCCCGTGGTTTATACATCCTTTTCTGCATATCTGTCATTTAGAACATATTCTGCCTCTATTATTATAATTGGGTTACATGGCAGAAACCAACATAACACTGCAAACCAATTATCTTTCAATTGAGAAAAAAGAATTCTGTAAGATGAAATTTCTGATAAAACTCTTTCGAGATTATTAGAATAAGACAAAAACTAACTTTCCTTCTTATCAGACCTGATCTTAGAATAAAGGAAGTTGATTAAAATTCTCACATCTATAGTATCAGCTGAATGAATCTCCTAGTGAGTAACAAACATACCTGTTGAGGCCCCAAGATTCACAGCTTAATTTAAAAGATACCTATCTACATCAAATAAATTGTTCATCTAGAATGGAAAGGTATCATATGTGACTCTTCATTATTTAATGTATGGAAAATGAATTTCCAGTATACTATAATTAATGCTAATAAATTAGCCATGCAATGATCAAACAATTTATTGAAAAAGTATTCCAAACACAAAAATCTATTCATCGAGGTCCTGTCAATTTACATTTCTCTAAAACACAACCAAATTTAAAACCAAGAAAGAGTGATAATACATGTTTCTCTGTGACTTTGGTGGTTTTATTCAATAAATAGTAATTTGAAGAGACATATCCACTGCAAGTAATTATAATATTTAAATTCAAGGCAATTTTTAAAAATAAATTTCAAAATATATTCATTAATCATGAAGATTAATTTTATGTCATTCATGACTTTCAGCTAATGTAAATATATATTTTAAAATCAATTTCCACATATAAGCATTTTATACATTTATAAATAGGAATATCAGAACTTCTATCTAAGAGATGGAAAACTACATTTACATAACACAAGATTATACTATAAAAAACTGGGAATAATCTAAATATCCAAAAGGGGAATGGTTAAGTATCAAGTCTAAAATAGAATATTTAATTTAAAATTTTTAATCTTAAAATTATAATCATGAATTTATTGTTATATATATATAAATACAACTGAATTCTTCTACATGGTGACTATAACTCTGTAAAAAGTATATGCGCATAGACAAGGACTGAAAGAGAACAAGGAAATGTGACTAGACTTTCAGGTGCCTTTTTTCTCTTTTTGTCAATGATAAATGCTTAAACATATGAAAACATTTATGTGAGTCTCAAAGTAAACATTTACTAACTATGTATATACTCAGTTTTCTCATTGTTGGAATGGTATTAGAACTACGTGTACATACATCAACTACATGGCTTCTGTGAAGCTGCGGGGGGATGTTCTAAACTAAAATTTAGACTTGGTTTTAAGTTTATGCATCTTTTTTCAAGTCTTAAAGACTATAGTTATAATGAAACCCCCTTGAATATAAGAACGTCTACAATGTGGAGCACTACATATATAGTTCAAACATTTGTAGAATAAAATTCCTCTCTTAGAGAGCCCTCTCTAATAACTGAATTTAGATAAGTACATCCAATGCTTTTTGTGCTCTAGTGTGTCCCAAGTACTTGCCTTCATCTGCCCTATTTATTTCATGTTCAGGAAGCCTGGAGCTGCTGGGTCTGGAAGGTGAACCCACAGATGGCTGCAAGGAGGGAAGTTCATCAACATCTCTCAAATTAGCAAGCATATCTTGTAGTTTTGACCTATTGGGCCCTAGCCCCGAAAAGGGAGGGAGAGAACAAAAAAGAGAAATCAGAATTATTCAACTGCATCAAAATGGTGCCATAAACCTTATTCACATCACACCAATATTCACCTTTAAAACTACCATACTATATTAAAGAGTAATTTATTTTCTAAGTTTTCAAGATTTTTAAAAAGGTATATTACTCTTGAAAAATTATGTTTTACATATATTTTTTAAATTAAGCTAATGGAATAATGTCATTATTTGCATGAAAAAATGTTCCTGTGCAATTTGGATCATTAAAAATAATATTATTCTATTATTCTAGAATCCTTGTATACAACTCTAAACACAGATACCACAGCCTGTGAAGCTGCTGTGTACTAAATTAAACAATCACATTCTTTTATGTTTGTTTAACTTAAGCTGCATCACTGCTTTACATCCTGAAAATTAGGTACCCAAGGTGAAGTCTCACACCCTACCAATTACTTACCTGTACTTCGATGCTTCATTCTCCCACATCCCTGTTTTGACTGTTTTATATAGGATAGAGGCTGAAACAGATCTTCGGTTGTTTTTCCTGTTATAAGTTTAATTAAGAATGGGAAAATCTTACCCATAGTCCATTATGGTTTTTTCCTATTTTTAAGCAATTTTAACTACTGCCTAGAAATATTATTCTAAGATAGTGTGATCAGAGAACACAATTTGACTGAAAATATTTCTACTAGCCCATATTATAAAGACGCAACCTCTTCCAATGAGAAACAGCTCAATTTAAAAAGATACCTACGATGCTTTACAAATTAGTGCTTCCTATGTCAATTCAAAGTTTTCCTTCAGTTCTATTTTCATTTTACGTCTTTCAGTTCTGTTTTTATCATGTCTTCTCTCGTTCCAAGGCTATCATTTTATCAAGATAACCTAAACTGATGATGATAAAAATGTGCTGAACTTCAGTCTTCAGTCCTTCTCTCTACAGTGAAAAACATTAGCCTTTCTCCTAAAGAATCATTTTTTCTCACCATACTAAAAAGCTATGTACCATATGCCTGAAACAGTGATCACAATCTTCAGGCTCAGGAAATCCACTAGCTTCTTTTAGCAGGAATACTACTTCAGTCAAATGGTGCAGCTTGAGACCTTAAATGCTTAACTCCAACTACAGCGAAGCCTTGATATTTGATAAGAACCAAATAACAAATAATAGATGAATTCTACATAAGTCCTTGATACCTTTTCAATTAACAGGTCTTTTACATTTTAAGACATTTATTACTGTAGCATGACAAATATATTAACTTTAAGTCAATTTGACAAATAAATATTCTCGTTTCTTTAATATGAAAAATATTCCTTAAAATTTCAGCTTAAATGGTTTTATCATGGTTATGAAGTCATAACAAACCATGTCTCACTTTGCTTGTTAAAATTAAATTGCATCAGTATTTTCAATAAAAAGTAGAACATGTTCCTATGTTTTAATATTAACCTTTCTCATTGTGATTAACTAATATTGAGAAGGCATTAAATGACATTCTCTCTCAGTTACATAACAGTTGGTACAATACTAATATCAATAAAGGCCACTGACTTTCTATCCATTAAAGTGAAATATTTGTAAATTCTAAGATATTTTAAATAAAGATTTAAATATTTATCTGTAACTACTAGGTTATCAAAGAATGACTGATTTTTTATAATCCTTAGCATCACTACAAAAAGAGAAAAAGAAAAATCATACCCCTCCAGTTTTTTGCAATTTTCAATACTTGCCTCACTCAAGTTGGATTTTAATCTCACTGTATGCTAATATCCCAAAGGATGAAATTCCTACTGCCGTAAAAGGGAGACCCATGTCCATACTGTCAATGAGAGTGGTAGCACAAGGAGATAATTTAACCTTGCTCTCCTAAAAAGGTGGTTAAGATGGTTTTTCAGGGATGTGTGAAAGCTTTTGTAATTATATTCTATATACCTAACTAGATCTATTGTTAAACCTTACTAATAACTTGAATAAGACAATGATATGATGCACAGGGCTACAAATTTCATTTTAGCTTCCATTTTTGATGTGGAACACATTTTGTTGGGAAAAGAAAAAAACCTAATTGGTAATATTATAAATGACATTGGCCAAAATTTTAAAATAGAAAAATAAGTACTTTTAAAAAGTTGTGTCTGACTCTGTGACCTGTATAACATATAGTGATGAGAGCAAATGAACTGTGTGTTATGAACACAGAGGATATTCAGGGGTAGAAATTAACCTTCTTTCCGTGACCAAGACCTAAAATTGTAAGCAATTACTTTGGTGGCTTGCCAGAGGGTCACACTAGATGAGATTTAAATTATCAACAGTAAAAAAATCATTACTGTAATTAAGCACATAAAGTTTGAAAAATCAAACTAATGCTATGTTTGAAAACACAGTCCCATACACTCATGATGCTCTGGATTTATTATTGGAATACATTATGGTCCCATAATTATATTCACAGCTTTTTTCTTTTTCAAAGTTCATGATCAAATATCTAACCATTTAATTTCCACCCCTGAAGAGGAAGTGAAAAGGAAAGAGGTCAGGAGAAGGAAAAAAAAAAGAGTAAGTAAGTTTTAGGAAAACATTGGAAAAAAAAATTGGGGGATATGAAAGAGGTAAAATTTATGATTTACAGATACAATGTTTTCCACTTACTCTTCACCCCCTTTTTCCCCTTTCTCTCCTTTTTGTATTGTTCCTTGAGTTTGGTAATTACTCCCTGGTCCACATTCCAAGCTTCAGGCATGAGACACTGGTCTTCCTTTTCTAAACAGAGTGAAACAAATGAAACAGCCTTTTTCAATAAGATATTGAACATTCAAAGTCAATTCACTGTTATGTCAATGAATGACATAACAACCATCTTCCTCATAGTATTACCAATTTTAAAGTTATTATTTATTCATCAGATACATGTCACAAGAAATATAATATCCAAGAAACAGTAGTCAATTCTATTTCCTTGGTAATAATATTAAATTTCCCTTGAAACAGATATAGAAAAAAAAAACACTGCAACATTTGAGTGACTTTTAGTAAACTAAGGCTCAAAAGTCTACCATCAAGAAACCCTCATTTTCAGACTGTGATTAGGATTGACTCACAAAAAAATTTCTTACTAATATATGTAATGAAAGATTACTAAGCATTTGTACAAAATAGTCTTCAATGATCTTTTCATTTCAAAAACTGTATTTCTGGCATGTGTTTATCAGCAAATGATCATTTTTATTTTACAGGCTTTATAAATAGCACTTTGCAAACTTATTAATCAACCTGGCATTCAACAGTTAAAATGATTTAAGTGACCTGTTAATTTATAAATATTTAAAGCTGGAAACTGAGCTTCTAAGAAAAAAGAAATTCCACCATTAATTTCCACCATTTCAGGAGTAGAAAATTTAAAAAGCAAATATTTTATGTATTTTATACTTATTATAAAATAAATTACTATATACATATAACATTATGTAAGTGTTAGCTCAGAACTCTCACCTGAAATCAAGACATATATCCACTTGCTTACTCTGTATTTCCATTAGGAACTCTAATCACAAACCAAACACACAAAACCAAACTCCCAATCTTTCCCATCCCATCTCTTCCATCTACAGGGTTTCCCATCTTATTTGAAGGCCCTATCAATAACCTGTGATATGCAGATGACACCACCCTTATGGCAGAAAGTGAAGAAGAACTAAAGAGCCTCTTGATGAAAGTGAAAGAGGAGAGTGAAAAAGTTGGCTTGAAGCTCAACATTCAGAAAACTAAGATCATGGCATCCGGTCCCATCACTTCATGGCAAATAGATGGGACAACAGTGGAAACAGTGGCTGACCACTTTTTGGGGCTCCAAAATCACTGCAGATGGTGACTGAAGCCATGAAATTAAAAGACGCTTACTCCTTGGAAGGAAAGTTAGGACCAACCTAAACAGCATATTAAAAAGCAGAGACATTACTTTGTCAACAAAGACCCGTCTAGTCAAGGCTATGGTTTTTCCAGTAGTCATGTATGGATGTGAGAGTTGGACTATAAGAAAGCTGAGCACTGAAGAATTGATGCTTTTGAACTGTGGTGTTGGAGAAGACTCTTGAGAGTCCCTTGGACTGCAAGGAGATCCAACCAGTCCATCCTAAAGGAAATCAGCCCTGGGTGTTCTTTGGAAGGACTGATGCTGAAGCTGAAACTCCAATATTTTGGCCACCTGATGCAAAGAGCTGACTCATTTGAAAAGACCCTGATGTTGGGAAAGATTGAAGGCAGGAGGAGAAGGGGACGACAGAGGATGAGATGGTTAGATGGCATCACCGACTCAATGGACATGAGTTTGGGTAAACTCTGGCAGTTGGTGATGGCATGCTGTGGTTCATGGGGTTGCAAAGAGTCGGACATGACTGAGCGACTGAACTGAACTGAACTACACTTTCATTTGATCAGACCAAAAACCTCCCTTTTTTCCAAATCCCACAACTATTTCAGGAAATACTGTTTCTCTACCTTTAAAACACATCTAGAATCTGACCACTCCTCAGCATATTCACTACTTCTCTGACCTCTGCTTCTTCCTAGAATTACAGCACATGTTTTCCCCTCTCCACTTCAAGTCTACTGCCAACATTAATTGCCCTGGGTGGTCTATTCTCAACACAGCAGCCAAAGTGATGCTTTCAAACAAAAGCTGGATCATGTCACCCTTCTGGCTCAACCGTCCCATGGTTCTCCATCTCACCAGTGGTCTACAAAGCTCCACTTGATTCGGTCACTTCCTACTACATTTCCCTCATTATCATTCTGCTCCAGCCACCCTAGCTTCCTTGAATTCCTCAAACATACCTGGATTACAGCTATCTTAGGGCATATGTTCTAGTTTTCTTCTTGAACACTCTTTCCCTGGATACCATGTGGCTAAGTCTCTCATCCACGCTATTCTCATTCAAATGTTACCCTCTCAATGCACCTTCCATGATCAATCTATCTTATATTGTAACCTATCCACTCCACTCCACCCTGTCCCCAGCACTCTCCATCCTATTTACTCTGTTCTACTTTTTCTATTTCCCATTGCATTTATCACGTTCTGACTTACTGTATCATTTATCATGTTTATCTCTTGCTGCCTACATCCTCTTAGTAGAATGTAGGCCCACAGGGGTAGGGATCTTCATCTAGAAGACTTGGCACAAAGAAGGCACGTAATCAGTATTTGTTGAATGATTGAAATAAACCAAAATGAACCAGAATAATCAGAAATCTGTCTATTTTAACAAGTTTCAGTCCACAGTTTAAAAAACAGATCACTGGGTCTCTGAATATAAAAACTCAACACTTTTATTCTACTATCAATAGTAGAAAGTCTACTTTTCTTCAGAAAAATCTAACAATCAAAAATGTAGATTTTCATCAATTACATCTTAATAATAAATTAAACTGAGTTAGATTTTAGATCCTAGAATGCCTTCAGCTTTTTAAAGTACAAATTTAGCTATATCATACTCTTAACACCATACTGATAACAACAGTAACATAGGAGAACTGTGATAAACCAGAAGATGCCAGAGATGAGATTTCTAAGTCCTTTACAAGGACTTCCCTGGCAGTCCAGTGTTAAGACTTTGTACTTCTACTGCAAGGAACACAGGTTTGATACCTGGTCAGGGAACTAAGATCCCACATGCCATGAGGCATGGCCAAAAAAAACCAAGAAAGAAAAGAAAAAATAATGAGATCTTCTACTATGTTCTCATACTCAATTTCCACAAAATCTAGACTTGCAAGTTCTACTGTTTAGGCAGAAACATTCTATAAATTCAAATTATTTTCATACTATACCACTTATGTTAAAAAAAAATGAGGAAGGTAAATAGCTGTACAACTTTCTTTAAACACACAGACACACATCCTGGAAAAAAGGTCATGATGGTAAAAAGTCCACAGAATGTCCAACATTTTAATACTGTAAGAGATTTAAAGTGTTCTTCAAGATGCTGCTTTCCTAGTAAAATATTAGTTTCGTTCATTTACATAACATCTCTGGTTGGATCCAGGATTCCTCCTTACCCCAGTCTGTCCCATCGCCTGCGCTTCTGGAGTCACTGTCTCCTTCTTCTGATGTAACCAAGAAGTCAAACTCCTTTAGAGCTTCTTTTGTATCTCGATCTTCACTGCTATCGGGCAATACTTTCTTCCTAACAATCTAATGATAAAAGCATGCTCAATTAAAATACTGGAATATATTATGGAATTAAATAAAGAAGACAATATCCCTTTACCCCTGAATGAGAAAACCCATATATTATTTTCTTCAGAAAATACATCTTTGTTGGGTCAAGTAACTGTGATACCTATCTAATTCAGTAGAAAACACAGATATCATTTTAAGATTTTACATATTATTAAACATTTTAAAGCAGTAATTTAAACTTTGTTCAATGATGGCTTCTTTTAAATAAACAAAAGTAATCACATATCGAAAACATTGGCATACAACACATGCATTTATATTACAGAGAGAAGAAAAATGTCCCTGACATACTGTATTGTGAGAACCACAATCAAATCTTACATTTCTGGGATGCAGTCTGTACAGTGTGCAGATATTCTAATCTAACCAAAGAAAGAAACACTTCATAAAACACTGCAAGAATTTTTCAGAATATAACCATGATAAATTTTAAGTCTAGTACATCATTCTCTCATAAAACCTAAAATCACAAAAACCACAAATTCAGAAATGCATGCCATAATACCAAGAAGGTATTCCGTTGGAGGGAGTGGGGGAGGGAGAACTCTTCCCATTATTATTTCCACCATCCCAAGCTTTCATCAATTTCCTCTAATAACTGTCTACATATTCAAATTTTTCTTAAAATACAGATCTTTCAGAGATATACATAACTTAGATTTAATAACAAATCTAACAAGGACCATTATGTCTCATTTTTTTTTTATGTCTCATTTTTATATATTTAGAAATATCTCTGGAATCATAAGGTGAAAAAGTTAATCATGAGAAAAGAGAAGGAGATAGAAAGGAGGAAAATTATCCAGACTGTAATGCAAAGAACAATCAAACTTCAATACAGGACAAAGAGCCAGAAAGGACAATGAACATATGTGTCTTTCCTAAGAAAATCCACTATTAATAGCCTGAACATAACCATCAGCTACTAAGAGCTTTGTGCTTCTGTTATTTTATTTTCTTGAATCTATTTAACTCTTTTTAATTAAGGAAATAAAGTGACATTTAAAAAAACCTGTTTGTTCTACTAAACATTTTAATAGGATAATTTTCAGCCACTCTCTCTCTATATATAGTACTGCAATCAATCTTTTAAGTCCTGCTTACACATTGCTACATAGAGTTAGATTTTTTAAGTCTTTTGGCATGGAGTTGTTACACTGCAGCTGTGAAAATTAATGCAACATAAAAATTAGCAAAACTAATACAAAACTATTACAAAGAAACCAATTATTTATTTAGAAATATTTTTCTAAAAGAAAACTAGAAGAATCTTTGGGTCCAGCATTTAAATAGAATTAAATATGTTTACACTAGCTGTGCCTTCATGGCTTGGTCACAGAATTACCATAATTAGCACTAACTGGAAGTCAGGATATTTATGAAATTGATTATTTAAAAAGAAATCAGGATACAGTTAGGAATTTCTATTAAGACCATACTTGATAGGAATAATAAACAGTTTATAGATTTTTTAATATTTAACTAACATAATGACTAACAACAAAACTTAAAGCATCATAGTTATTATTTAACCACTGAGCTACAAGTACTTTGACAGAAAAATAATATCTCAGTGCAATCATCCCATAGAAATCACAACTCAGCATAAAATTTCCAAATGTTAAAAAAAAAAATTTCAAATGTTAGGATGAGAAAAGTTATCATACAAGTTTCGGCATTTTATTTTACCACAGTCAGTTTAAACACAAGTGATTACTACTTGTTTGAATAATAAAAAGAGGGAGTAACTTCTTCGATTTCAAGTAACACCCATGGCAGGACTGTATTAGAGCAAGCACAACACTGCCAAACAGTGGCCGGGGAAACAGGAATCCAGAAACAGTCAGCTGAGAGCCTCTGATGGGAGCAGAGGGCTTGAACAGAAAAGAGAAGTCACACTCAGAAAGAAAGCACTTTACAGTTAAACATTTTCAAACGCAGTGTTTCACTTACTCCTCACAAAATTCTCTGGGGATAAGATGGGTACTTGTTATAGGCCCGATTTTACAAACTAAAAAACTAAGCCTGAAGGGTTAAAAAGCACTGATAATTAGTGACAGAACTGAGGCTTTAGCCCCAGGCCTAGACTCTAGGTCCAGTCTGCTTTATTTATCCTTCCTTTCCTCCCTCCTCTTCTTAAATAAACGTGAAGGAGGAAATGTGAACACTCTCCTAAAAGCAAAGCATGCCCTCGTCTCTTACTTTAAATAAAGCAGAAGGAGGAGGAGGAAGAAGAAAGAGAAGGAGAAGAGGGAAAGAGAGAGAAGAGAGGAGAGAGGTTAAAAAGGGGGAGAGAGACTGGCACGAAAACAGAAATACAGACCAATGGAAGAAGATAGAAAGCCCAGAAATAAACCCATGCACCTATGGGTAACTTATCTTTGACAAAGGAGGCAAGAATATACAATGGGGCAAAGACAGCCTCTTCAATAAATGGTGCTAGGAAAACTGGACAGTTACATGTAAAAGAAATTAGAACACTCCTAACACTATACACAAAGATAAGACTCAAAATGGATTAAAGACCTAGATGTAAGACCAGAAACTATAAAACTCTTAGAGGAAAACATAAGCAGAACACTCAATGACATAAATCAAACCAAGATCCTATATGACCCACCTCCTAGAGTAACGGAAATAAAAACAAAAGTAAACAAGTAGGACCTGATTAAACTTAAAAGCTTTTGCACAGCAAAGGAAGCTATAAGCAAGGTGAAAAGACAACCCTCTGAATGGAAGAAAAATAATAGCAAATGAAACAACTGACAAAGGATTAATTTCCAAAATATTCAAGCAGCTCATACAACTCAATGTCAGAAAAACAAACAACCCAATCAAAAATTGGGAAAAAGACCTAAACAGACATTTCTCCAAAGAAGACATACAGATGGCTAACAAACACATGAAAAGATGCTCAACATCGCTCATTATTAGAGAAATGCAAACCAAAACTACAATGAGATATCACCTCACACTGGTCAGAATGGCCATCATCAAAAAGTCTACAAACAACAAATGCTAGAGAGGGTATGGAGAAAAGGGAACACTCTTGCACTGTTGGTGGGAATGTAAATTGATACAGCCACTATAGAAGACAGTGTGGAGATACCCTAAAAAACTAGGAATAAAACCACCATATGACTCAGAAATCCCACACCTAGGCATCTTCCAGAGGAAACCAAAATTGAAAGAGACACATGTATCCCATTGTTCACTGCAGCACTACTACAATAGCTAGAACATGGAAGCAACCTAGATATCCATCAACAGAGGGATGGGATGGGGAGGGAGGTTCAAAAGGGAGGGGATATATGTATACCTATGGCTAATTCATACTGAGGTTTGACAGAAAACAGCAAAGTTCCGTAAAGCAATTATCCTTCAAAAAAAATATAATTTTTTTAAAAAGGGGAGAGGAGAGAGGTTAAAAAGAAGGGGACAAAATAAAGAGGGGACGAGAAGGGAGAAGCAACAATTTAGATGTACATCTCATTCCAGGACTCTACCATGGGAAAGTCGATAAACTTACAAAAATCGGAACCAAACCACAGAAGAACCCTAAACATGTTTGGAGAAATCTAATGGGAGAGTTCTGAAAATGTGGGGTCCTTGCCTACCAAAGCAACCCTGACATGACAAACAAAAACAGCACCGTTTAGAGCTGATGCCAGTCACCATCAGGCACCATAATGGGCTGTCAGTTCTATTGTCTTATGGCACCAAGAACAATGCATTGTTATAACACACATTTACCATACTCACTAACCCTATAAAAATGTTGAAATCTTTAATGAATTAACAAAAACCTAAAGAATGAGGGCCTTGAGGAGAAAACTGCTACACTAAAAATATTCTTGAAGTCAAAACAAAAACTTTCAGATTAAATTTCCCCAAATTTATGGAAAAATAAAAGTTCAGGGTTTAAGTTGAAGGATATGGATTTTTAAAGTATGTGTAATAGCCCCCAAAATATTTATATCTGTTATTCAACTCACTGTTGAAGTATCAATGATGCTTTTCTCTCTTCCATCAATGTCATCATCTTCATCTTCATCACTGAAATCTGCAGCTGCACTTTCAAGGAATTTAAAATTATCCAGCACGGAGGCAGAATCTGTTAACTCGGATTTTCTGGTTTAAAATATATACATTTTGCTCAGTTAATTTTTTAAACTCAGCGTAAGAATTAATTCATGATATACTGCACTGACTTCTGTTTATATTGAATTATAAGCCCCCCCAAATCACACTAGGATCTGCACTGATTCTTATCTATTACATTTCCATGGATTTTAACTTGGAAAGCAATATAGGAAGAAACTGGTTACTCTTTTAAAAAAGTACTTTTCAATCATAGCTACTACTTAGATTAATGGCAATCTAATACAAAGAACTCTTCCTTCTGATTTAGTATTATTTTGATTATTAAGCCAAACAATGCATTTCTTTTTGAAATATTTTTTATTATCTCTGCCTCTGTTTTTCTCTATCCTTTTTTTTCTTCAACTCTTCCTCTTCCATAACTAAGAAAATAACTAGCAGATACAGAATTTTCTCTGATGCAATCTCGTATTTCTAAACAGCTAAAGAGTTGAAAAAAGCAAATGTGTATATGAAGCTTACTAAAAACAGTATTTTAGTTTAATATACTACTAAAAAACGATCTTACTAATCAATAAATCCTTAATCTGGAAATGATTAACTTTTTAAATATGTGAGATTTTAATTTAGCTCTCTCTAAAGAAATTCATCAATTTCCTAATGACCAGAATAGAATGACTGCTCTCCAGTTCATTAGGAAATGTTTTAGATAACAAGACATTTTCCTAAAAAGCGTTTAGCCATAACTATGAACAAAATTCTCAAAACAGGTAAATCTTAAATTTCACATCTGCTGGGAGCTATGTTTTTGTTCTTTTCTAACCTACTCTCCATCCTTACAGAAGAAAGATTCAAGATAATACCTTTATCAGTTTCAAAAGACAGGTCAAGGCCAAAACATAAGACTAGAGTGGACTTTCTTAAGCATCTTTATAATAATTTAAACTAATTCATTAGGTGAAATATAATCAGGATTAATGCCCACACTGTCTATGTCTACACAGAGAAACAATCTACATCTTACATTTATGAAATAAGTTATGTAATCTTAACTATTAATGAGCACATTTAAGAATGCTCCAATGACATTTGTTTACAAGACATATGTTTAAACTTTTACCTAAACCCCATAATTTTAGTTTATGTCCCAAATAACAGAAACTATGTTCTTACTAGAAAATGTACAGAGCTCAACTAAAACCATTCTTCCAGCCTAAACATGAGTTAAAGTAACATCATATTTAAATTTCAAAGAATCTTTGACTTTTTAATTTAAGAATTATGCCAAATTATTTTTTCAATAAAGAAGAATCTCCTTATTAAACCCTTCACCTTCATTTTAAGCAGAATTCAATGTAACTGTATGGTATATGGGCTCCCCTGGTGGCTCAGACAATAAGGAATCTGCTCGCAAGGCAGAAGACCTGGGTTTAATCCCTGGGTTGAGAAGATCCTGATCCAAAAAGCAAAATGAAATGTTTCTGCTACTGAATTTTTCACTTATTCTATCAACTAGGAAAAAAAAAAAAATATATATATATATATATATATACATACACACCATACACATATATACTTGAAATAGATATTTTTCAAAATGAAGAGGAGTTATAGCATTATTAGATAAATGAAAATGGCTAAGAAAAGGTTTACATCAAAAGAATTAAGTATTTATATGATTTCTGGGTCACCAAGAATGAAATTTCATTCTTATAGACTTGAAATGAATTTCCAAATAAGATCTTTTATGAAGTTATAATAGTAAGAGGTGACTGAGCGTCAATGAATTAAAATTTATATTAAATCCATAAATTTCAAGCAAATAAAAATACCTTAAATAAAAATATTATTCTTAAAATAGTCATAAATGATAACTCTAATCCCTGTGTATATCTTCTATCAAATAAAATTTTAAACTTTTTATTAGACTTTATCATTAAATTACTTCTGTAGCAGTACCTGGAAGTGAAAGTATCCACACGTGTCACCCATAAGCCAAAAATATTAATAAGAACTAAAACTACAGCCAAACCACTTTCCAGACAAAATACTTACCCAATCATTGCTGTCTCTTTAACTTCAGCTTCTGTGCCATTTATAACTGAGTCCTGATTTTTGTCATCTTCCCTGTCAGTGACATCACTTGAAATGCCCAACAAAGCTCGCACTCGTTTGGATTTCACATCTAAAATAGTATCTGTGTAACCCACCTCCTGTAGATACCTGTGTGTGAAGAGGATCTTTACAATTCAGACATATCGGAATCAGTACTCTACTACTGGATATCTAAATAAAAACATTTCTTTAAACTCACTGTCTGCATAAGACTGGATAGCACAGTACTATGCTAGTAAGACTCACTAATAAATAATCTTCCAGCTGCAGATGGAGCTGTCTCCTGCAGTACCAGCCTCTATGGTCACTGAGAAAAACCAAAGAACTATACAATACACCATTCATTTATCGTAAGAAGCAGCTATTCCTTAATATATCTAATAGCACATTCTTTCTTCTAGGCAGGGCTGGAGTAAGCTCACTCTCAGATGTTACTAAATTACTATTTTATAATAGTAATGAGAATAACCAGTAGTCTTTTTACACTTTTGATGTTACAATATCACTGGATCAACTGAGATCTATAGAGAATGTTTCTAGCATATATAGCTTCCTACATGACATACAAAACCGCAGGATATTCCAAACAAGTCACTTCTACAGAAGGGAAGCTCTTATCCTGACACAACTCTGCAATAAAAATAAACCACAGTTCAACTGTATGATCCTATGTGGGATGAGTGGGTGTACAGGGGTGTGTGTGCTGCAGAAAGGAGAAGCACGGAAAAGAAAGAATAGGTTTTGTATGGAGAGTTAAACATGGGTTCAAAGCCCATTTCTTCCACTTTTTTCCTGTGTAGCATTAATTCTTCTGAACTTTAGCTTTCTTTCTCTTAAAGAAACATATCTAGTGTAGTGCCTGGCATACAAAAGGTGCTCAGTATCTATGAACAACAAAAGATGACCAAAAACAACCAAAAGTGGTAGTGGTAGGAACATGAAAAAGGCAAATGTTAATAATAAAGTCATTAATAAATGTAACAGACAATATCAGACATTAAATTATATGTAAGTATCAAGTCTATGAAATGAAAGATAAAACAAAGATCAAAAAGATAAGCAGTCTAAGATCAGTTTGAGATCTGGTATTAAGAGTTATTATTGCTCAAAGAGATATCTCACAAAAAGACATGTGACCAAACATGTCCAGTATCTATAGAAAGGTTTTAATTAAAATTATAATCAGTTGATTCTTACAAACAAATACAAAAGAATTATGTTTTCTATTTTTAACAAGTAATATTTGATACATAACTAACTTTAGGAACAAAATCACATTACAAATACTGTTTCAAAAACTGCTCATTCCATAAATAAACTGGTTTTACTAAATAGCTACTTCTTCATTCATTAATATTTAGGTTGGTGCAAAAGTAACTGAGGTTTTGCATTGTTGAACTTTGCCATTTGATACTGGAATACAATCTTAAATAAATGTGGCTATGTTATACATCGTTTTAATGTGCATTTCTCACTTTACGTTTTTTTTGCTTTAATGACTTAGTACTTGCTGCGTATTTTATATGTATTCTAGACTATGGAAATGATGTTAGACAAAAAGCAAATTCAAGCAATTTTTTTAAGTTCAAAATCGGTTGTAAAGCAGCACAGATAACTCACAACATCAACAATGCATTTGGCCCAGCAAACTGCCAACAAATGTACAGTGCAATGGTGGTTCAAGAAGTTGTGCAAAGGAGAGGAGATGATGGAGATGAGGAGCATAGTGGCCGGCCATCAGAAGTTAACAACAACCAACTGAGAGCAACCATCAAAGCTGATCCTCATGCTGGCCTTGGCAGCACATATACTAAAATTGGAACGATACAGAGATTAGCATGGCCCCTGCGCAAGGATGACACATAAATTCGTGAAGCGTTTCATATTTGAAACAAAAAAAAAAGCTGATCCTCTTACAACTACAGGAGAAGTTGCCAAAGAACTCAACATCAACCATTCTATGGTCATTTGGCATTTGAAGCAAATTGGAAAGGTGAAAAAGCTTGATAAATGGGTGCCTCAGAACAGAAAAAGAAAAAAAATTGTCATTTTGAAGTGTCGCCATCTCTTATTCTATGAAACAACAACAAACCATTGCTTGATCGGATTGTGATGCGTGATCAAAAGTGGATTTTACAGGACAACTGGCCATATTCATCTGACTTCTCGCCAACCAACTACCACTTCTTCAAGCAACTCAGCAACTTTTTGCAGGGGAAATGCTTCCTCAACCAGCAGGAGACAGAAAATGCTTTCCAAGAGTTCATCAAATCTTGAGGCATGGATTTTAACGCTACAGGAATAAACTATCTTATTTTTCATTGGTAAAAATGTGTTAATTTTAATGATTCCTATTTTTATTAATAAAGATATGTTTGAGTCTAGTTATAATAATTTAAAATTCATGATCTGAGACCACAATTAGGTCTGCACGAAGCTAATAAAATGTCACCTCTGAGAGGCAGGTGAGTCTTTTAAAAATACGTCTTGGATTGCTATCATAACCACTTGTCATTAAAAAAAAAAAAAAGGAACAAAATCAGGACTTTTAGAACACTTATTTATTTATAAAAGGAAAACACATAAACCACTTTTAAGACCACAGTGAAAGCCCACATATTAAATACTAATGAAGTCTCATTTTCTTCTAACTTTGAGGAGATAAAAAAAATAGATGTAAGGAGAAACTTTAACATCCTCTCCCCATTATCAAAAGAAATGACTGGCATGCAATCCACTTTGGAAACAACAGGTTTAGATTATTCACAAGCCCAAAAGAATAAACCAGGTAGCAAATCTCATTTTACTGAGATACAAGTCAAACTACCAATTTCAAATGTAACATGCAAGGGTTAGGCACTGAGTTGATGAGCAGGTCTAGCCCCTCTGCTTGACACCTGAATCTCAACCCAGCTTTGCTCCCTCTTTATACTCTCAAATTCAACATTTTATAGGAGAGACTATATGTTAGCATAATATATACAAATTTGGGAAATCCAATAAGTTCTCCCATCTATTTAAAATAAAGTTTAAAAACATAACATAAAGATATCATGAATAGATTAATAATAAAGCATATGTATATTCATGTATAAAAAGTGGAAAGAAAAAAGTAACTTTAAGGGTACAGAATTCTTCAGACCATACATTTAAACATATAATAAGTTAGAAGCTCTAAACTGTACTTTTTGATAAAACTAATCTATGGATAGATAAAGCTAATCTATGGATTATTTGCCATGGAAAGCAAAATCTATTCTTGATAATCCTAGTTAATAGTTATTGAAAAATAGATTCCTCCATAGGGGAAAACGTGTTTAATATGAAAAAGGAATAGTAATTCAATGAAGTTTTTTCATAGCAGATACTTTCACAAGATACTTACTGTCTGAGTAGTTGCCGACCTTGCTTCCACATTAACTGGCTGTTTTGTTGTGGCTGTACCTCTGTTTCATTACCTTCATCTGGAAAACATTAAAACATTAAAAAAAACTGATGTAATATACATTAGAAGACATCTCAATTCATTAGAAATATCCAATAAAAATTTATAAGATTAAGAACACTGCACTGTAAAGTATGTTTTGCGTGCATGCTGTGTTCAGTCATTCCAACTCTTTCCAATTCCATGAACTGTAGTCTGCCAGACCCCTCTATCCATGCAATTTTCCAGGTCCGTTTCAGGACAATTTAAGTTTTAATTTTAGTTTCCATGTGCACGTGTGCTAAGCTGCTTCAGTCATGTCTGACTCTCTGTGACCCTATGAACTGCAGACCGCCAGGCTCCTCTGTCCAGATTCTCCAAGCAAGAATACTAGAGTGAATTGCCATGCCCTCCTCCAGGGATCTTCCCAACCCAGCAATCGAACCTGTGTCTCTTATGTCTCCTGCACTGGGAGGTGAGTTTTTTGGGGGTTTTTCTGTTCTTTTTTTTTTTTAAACCACTGGTGCCACCTGGGAAACCCCTTAATTTCTTATGGAAACTCTAAAATAAATTCATTATTGCTACCAGATTTCCCTGAGAGTTTCAGAACTAAAAGGCCTTTTCCCCACTTTTCAGGCAACCTGAGAATTTTCGTCTAGGACAAATGAAGTCACACAAGAATTAAATAAAAGTATTATGAAGCACCACATCAGAATGAGAACTAAATGCCCAGGAATGACTATTTAGAAGGAAGGGGGAAAAAAGCCTGTCTGGTAAAGAATAGATAGATAAAAAATAATCCCAAACCAAACCTATTTCCTTCACTAGTTATTAAATGAAAGCCTCAAGCTTTTTCCTAAGACATTCTTTAGATGGAAACTTCCAGGTCCCATAGAGCTTAAAACTCATCATATGGTAGAAGCCAAATCTTTCAAGAAGATGATAAAATAAAAAGAGCCTTCTGCTTGATACGTCCGGACTAAACAATTTCCAAACTACAGGATAGCTCAACTTTAAAAACATAAAAAAAGTTTACACCCTCCATTAGCCCTTGATCAAACTATAAGAAACTGTGGTCTTCATAGGATTTTTATTCAAGTGGAGCTATAAGAGAGATCGGGAAATTTTCTTTTATGATATTTGATATAAAACATTTAATGTGCTCCAGATGCTGTGCTAAAAACATATACACTATTCTTTTAATCTTTACAACCTCCAAAGACAGGCACTATTACCATCCCCATTTTAAAGATGAGAGAGATGTTTTGCAGATTAATTGTAAGGTTTCTAAGTTAGAAATACAGCTGCAAGTACTGAAATCATGACTGCATGACTCCAGAGCTCACATGTTTTTCTCCACATGCTATCATTACAATGGTAAGAAATGAGAAACATGTAAATAAAAATAAGAATTATATCTTGCATTTTCATTATTCTCTTAAAGTAACTAGACCAAGTTCTGTGACATACCAAAGAAAGAGTAGGAAGGTTGGGCTGGGAGGGTGTTGGGTGGAGATTAACTCACAAAGGAAGATTACTTTGGGATAACTTCAAAGAGCATTTACTTGAAAAAGAAAAAAGGAAAGAAAAACCATGTCTAAATAGTAAGGAAAAATAATACATTGTTTCCACTTACCCACACATTCAGGAACTATGCATATAACATAGTATGTTCTAATATAGCCACTTCTTAGGTCAAGTGAGTAACCTGTACTTGCCAAGTAAGAATATCTACACTGGCGTTTCAAAAGACCAAAAATTTCAGATGCGAAAGAACTTTTGAGATCATCTAATTTCCCATCAAAACATGCCTAAATCCTTTCTGTACCATCCTCAGATACACTCAACTGCCTTTGTCTACTTTGGTAGCTAGAAAGGTGAATTTTACTGTAAATAAATTATACCTTAATAAAAAATAAAGCCAAATCAAATAATGCATCCTTACCCTCTTTTAAAAACTGTATTCTTATATTGCAATAAAATCCGATCCCTGAGTGGTCATTTTATAATATATTAAAATATCAAACCACTATGTTGTATACCTGAGACTAATATAATTGTACTTTAAAGAAAAAAAGAAAGGACTATCTTGTCTCAGTTAACCCAGCTCTATGACAAAAACAGCAAGGTTATGAACTGCTGCTTATTATACCATTACACACTGGATCATAACTAGACTCCAGATGACTGCAAGGGAACAAATGAAACCTTATATATATAATCACCAGTATATAATATAACCAGTCACAACACTCGGGAGGAATGAAGAGTGTCAAAGACCTACAGAGCCTGAGGAGGCCTTATCTCCTTCACAATGGATTTGAGGAAACTGCTTACCTTGGTTTTTTATTAGATTAATGTATGAATTAATGATCTAAGACCATGTCTGTGATCAAGACCTTAACCAAACAAACATAAGACAGGCGCTTTACTCAACATTACCAAATCTATTTTCCACTGACTGAGAGAAATAATCAATGGTATAGCTGTCTATAGAGCAGTGAGTTTCAATACCTGCAAATAATTATAAAGACAGAAATAGTGATTTTGAATAAATTTCTCAGAAGTGAATGTTCCTTTCTCTGTTTAAAAAAAAAAAAACAAACCTGACTCTCCGGGTCACATGTGGACTTGACTTTCCCGACACTCCCTTATCCAGGCTAAACATTTAGTTCTCTCAATGGTTAGTAAGTACTCATCAACTATCAGATTCATTCTTACCTTATCAAGTTCAAAAAGTGACATTATATAAAAGTGAGGATTTTAAAGTGGGTAGGAATTCAATTTCTGGGTAATATTAAAAGTATTTGACTGGCATTTCCAGTCAAGTTGGAGTAACAGGGACCCAAGTTACCCTCCTGCCTGAAGCAACTATAAAACAAAACAGAGCATACGACGGTTAAGACAGTGAACATCAGACAATGAAGGGTAGCAATTCTGAGAAAAAGGAAGCAAACAGGTGAGCCTTATGATTGTTCCAGTTTATTGCCCTGACAGAGTTTCCTGATCGTAGCATAGGGAGGAGAAACCAAAAGAAAAATGAATATATAATGGCTGAGAAGTTCCAAATTTCATGAAAACTATAAACCCATAGATCCAAGAAACCCAACAAATCCCAAGCACAAGAAACACTGGGGAGAGGAGGGGAGGTAACTATACCAAGGCACATCATGATAAAATCACTTAAAACCAATGAGAAAGAGATAAATCTTAAAAGCAGTCAGAGAAAAAGGTCACATATACAGAGGAAAAGGGGCGACAGAGGATGAGACAGTTGGATGGCATCACCGACTCAATGGACGTGAGTTTGAGCAAATTCTGGGTGACGGTGAAGGACAGGGAAGCCTAGTGTGCTGCAGTTCATGGGGTCGCAAAGAGTCAGACATGACTGAGGGACTGAACAACAACAAATATACAGAGAAATGTATGGATGACAGAAGATACCACATCCGAAACAATAAAAGCAACAACATAAAGACTTTCAGACACACAAAAGCTGAAAGAAGGCATTATCAGCAGCACATGTGTTAAAGTCCTCAAGACAGAAGGAAAATGATACCGGAAGATATGAATGCATACAAAGGAAAGATGAGCACTGGATATCTACATTTTTTATGTTATTTAAATCTCTTTGAAAGAGAATTGCTGAAACAAAAATCGTAATGTAGGGTCAACCCAGGGATTGAGCCCATATCTCCTGCATTGGCAAGTGGATTCTTTACACTGAGTCACCTGGGAAGCCAGTGAAAGGTCTAAACATCTTAGAAGGCAGAATTTGTTACTTTGGATAAAGACACTCTATTTTTAATAAGTATCTGGCTTTTAATATTAAGCAAAAGAAACTGACGCATGAAAGATAAATAGATTTTAACATAAGTTATGAAGTAGAAACGTTAAGGGTTTGCAAGTGGAATAAAATAGAAAAAAAAAGAGAGGAAACTAATATTTGTGGAGAATATTTCAGAAAACATCTGGATTGTCAATTTTAGGGAAATACAGTAAATGGATAAAATAATGAAGCAGGAAAAACCCCTGCTTCTTTCCTTTAATTTGGATGCACCACCTTCTATGCCTTCTAGTCACTGTCCTTACCACTTCGTTTACAGACCTCTTGGTAACGCTCTAAGTCAGGCTCACATGCTTCCTCTGCAACCAAACTTTTACATCATCTTGAGGGAAGTTAACATTCAAGTGGGTGGTTCACTTCAGCTTCTGCACAACCACCAGCCTCTCTTAGCTGTCATGCCTTAGACCTTGTCATTATGAAGAACTGTCACTGATGCAAACTCACTTTCTGAGCATATCCTTCAGGCTCAATACTTCCAATTCGCTAGGCTCTTTGACTTTAGGTGGGACCTTAGATCAGGGGTCAGCAAACAGTAGCCTGCAGATCAAACCCAGCCTGTTTGGGCTTCCCCGGTGGCTCAGACTGTAAAGCATCTGTCTGCAGTGCGGGAGACCAGGGTTCGATCCCTGGGTTGGGAAGATCCCCTGGAGAAGGAAATGGCAGCCCACTCCGGTACTCTTGCCTGGAAAATCCCAGGGACGGAGGAGCCTGGTAGGCTACAGTCCATGGGGTCGCAGAGTCAGACAGGACCAAGCGACTTCACTTTCAGTTTTCAAGCTCAGCCTGCCACACTTACGCATTTATGTGTTGTGGCTGCTTTCAAGTTACACCAGCCGAGTTGAGCAGCTGCAACAGGGACCAAATGGCCCACATATCACCATCTGGCCCTTGACCGAAGAGTCTGCTGGCGCGCCCTAGATTGTAGCCTATCCACTTGCTTTGATCCATTAGCTTCCTTCTGTCTTCACTTTCTTTCCTCACCAGTCTTGGTTCAGGGTCTATCAATCCAATCATTCTTTTGATAATGTCTCCAATCTTCCTGTTCCTTTATCTCTCCCTGAATCCAAATGTTCACTATTTTCATTCTATTATCTTTTACCTAGGCTGCCAATTGTGCAGAGCAGCACTTCTATACAAACTCTGATTATACAACTCAATTGAACCCTTAGCTTTTCTCAATCCTACTATTCCTTAGTAAGTTTGTCCTCCTGTTCGTTATTATTTTAAACCTTCTTCACTCTTCTTAAACCTCTGATGCATTTTTAGCAGGTAATCCTGTCTCATACATAAAGCTATCATGTTAAATAGCCACCACTAGACCAAAACCCAAACCTAAAGACCCATCACCTAACTTCCGACATTCTCTCTTGGTAACAATAAAAGACATGCATGCCTCTCCTGCTATTCTCCAGCTAAGATCAGAATCCAATCCCTATTATTTCTTCAGATACTTTCATATTTTAAGTATCGCTATTCTCTCTCCCTTTTATTAGTTCCTCCTCTAAGAAACATATCACTCACTCACTCACTCACTCACACACACACACAGATACAAACAAACACACACTCTGTCTCTTCATTGACTCCATTGGTCCCTTCAGCCATTTCCCCTTAATACCTTGCCTTCACCTCCACAACCTCAGCTTCCTAAAAGTTTACCACACTGAGTCTTCACTTTCCACACAGTCTCCATTTCTGCCCTCAACTCTCTCCTAAGGCTGTTCACAATAAAGATTCCAGCGACCTGTGTGTCACTAAATCCCAGAGATACTCTTCAGACCCCAAGGCATTAATCTGTAATACTGAAGGACCCTTCCTTCTGGAAATCCTCTCTTCTCTTTATTTCCACTCTCCTGATTTTCCACATCCTAGTAAAATAATCCTCATCAGTTTCCTTTTCAAGTTTCTACTGTTCTACCAGTTTTCTAAATGCCACAAGGCTCCATTTAGGTCCTCTTCTTGCTCTGTGTAAGATCCCTGGCTGAGTTCTTCCATCCCATTGGTGTTGAGTGTCGTCAGTACAGCTTTATGCTCTGAAATCTACGTATTAAACCCCTATATTTGGCTTGAGCTCTAGACTCACCTGCCCAACTGTATACCAGCTGTTTTCATTTGATGGCCTAACAAATAAATCCAAACGTGCACCCAGCATCTTCCAAATGCAGTTTTGGTCTAGTTTTTTATACTAGAAGTGTGGGAGTCATCTTTGCATCTCCCTTTTTAAAAAACCCCTCCATCTAAACAAGAACTAATATCCTGCAGATTTTACTTCCTAAGTATTTCCTGAACATACCCACTTCTCTTCAACTCCATTGTTGGTACATTTGTTAAGGTAACCTTCCTCATTTACTCAGGAGGTTGTAAAATCCTCTAACCAGTCTCCCCATCTCTATTTTTCTCCTCTCTAACCCATCTTTCCAGTAGTCATGTATGGATGTTAGAGTTGAACCATAAAGAAGGCTGAGCACTGAAGAATTAATGCCTCTGAACTGTGGTGTTGTAGAAGACTCTTGAGAGTCCCTTGGAGAGCAAAGAGATCCAACCAGTCCATCCTAAAGGAAATCAGTCCTGAATATTCACTGAAAGGACTGATGCTGAAGCTGAAACTCCAATAGTTTGGCCACCTGATGAGAAGAACTGACTCACTGGAAAAGACCGAGGCTAGGAAAGATTGAAGGCAGAGGAGAAGGGAACGACAGAGGATGAGATGGTTGGATGGCATCACTGACTCAATGGACATGAGTTTGAGTAAACTCCAGGAGTTGGTGATGGACAAGAAAGCCTAGCTGCTGCAGTCCATATGGTTGCAAAGAGTCGGACATGACTGAGCGACTGAACTGAACTGAACCCATCTTTTCATACTGCTGACAGCATGATTTGAAAGAACATCTGATCATCAAAATACAATAACAAAAAAACATCAGTGATCAATTGGTATTGCTCTAAATCTCAAGGATTCAATATTCAGCTGTGGAAACATGTTAATAACATTACTACATTAAAGTGAACTAAAAAACTGGCAGTGCATTAGGAATTATTCTGTTCCTTCATACACTGTCAAACATAGAAATAGTGTGGTCAAATGGGGAGAATTTGAATTTTGGAGTCAGAAGATCATAATCCCATTCAGATCCATAATTCCATTAATAGCTGTGTAACCCCTGGGGAAACTTCTCCACTTCTCTGAGTTTAAATTTCATACAAGTAAAATTAAAATAATATTACTTTTACTGAATAATTACATTAAGAATTAAAGTTAATGTATATAAAGCCCAGCATGTGATAGTTATATCAGACATTTGATCCAGTAATTTAACCTGACATCACGTCAAAAACACATTCATCTGAAACGTGGTGATGGCTTTTCAACAATTTTTCTTACTTTTCCCTAATACCTACTAATATATTAGTCAATTATATTACTTAATATCTTTACAAGTACTACTGTTACATTGTTTGATGGGGTGATGAGGAAGACAGGAGAAAGAAAAAGAAAGAAATAATACAAAAAGATAATAAATGCTTCAGCTGTTAAAAACACTGTCCTGGTTACAGAACGTCCTGTGGGTAAAAAAGTCCAAAACAATTTTGCACCTGAAATTGAGGGATTAGACTTAAAGGATGAGTAATTCTCTTGTACTGAAAGAAGAAATCTCTTACCTCCACGGCTCATACTCTTTCTCTCAGGATTTTAGGGCATGATGTACTTTGTATTACACATCTCAAAGTTCCCATTAAAATTGTGGGGACCCAGCAAGACACAGTTATGCTGGTGCATGTTACCCCATGAATTCTGATCCTTCCAGTAAGTGCAGAACACAAGCAGAAAATGGGGAACTGCAAGAAAGGGGACGAGGGGAAAGGGAGGAAGGTGGTGGAAAATGATCTAAATGACACTAAGAGATTAGTGCCCAAAGATAAGCAGGTCAGAAAAAATAACTAATATGCAAATAATTAGAAATTAACTTGCAGTTATAAATACTGTTGCTACAAAATACTGGATATTAACTCCTTTTTAATTACTTAAACTTCCTTTAAAATTAGCTTACCAGAATCATAGCTTGGAGGCTTCATATCTCCCTGATTCAATTCTGTCCCATATTTCAACTTGTGGTATTTGGCTCTAACAAAGAAATAAGAAAATACAAACCATCTTAAAACACAGTTAAATGAACCTTAAGATATGTAATAGGAGTAGTCATCAGTATGCAGTAGTCCTGACTAACTTTTAACTGTTCAAAGCCTTCCACAGTATCAAAGTCTTAATATACAAGTGCTTCCCATTATCATTTTGCTTTATACCATCAAGTTCTGTTACAACAAAAAAGTAGTAACACTGAGAATGATAAATCTTGTTTCTATAATTATGAATGAACCATGTAACATTCTAGTTTCTACAGTATTCAAATTTTCTTGAGGACTGCCAGAGTACAATTCTATCAAAAGCAATAGATAAGTTTGTATTGTGAAATAAACTTGAAAAAGACTAATCTTTCTCAAAGTTGAATTTTTTTTTCCTTAAGAAAAAAAGGTCACCCATAATACTCTGCATTGTCAGGCAATTATGCTTTGCCAAGTACACATTAGAGTGAACAATCCAAAAGAGGGAGGAGGAATCAGCTTGAATTCTCAGTGTTGAATAAGACATTCTAGAAGAAATAAACATATTTTTTAACAGTCAAGGTATCTTTTGCCTTTTTAGGATGAAGTCAGGAAGAACTGTGAACAGGAGTATTTTCTTTTAAAAGTTAACTAGATGCTATCATCTCTGATTCATCTGATTTAACCATCTCAGATTAAACCACCTAAGATGAGAAAAATAATCCAAATAAGGTACAAAACTAAAAGGTAAACTAAAATGAACCATACTTAAGGTTGTATATTTTTACTTGCTTGCTTCCCCCAAATATTGAGGCTGTTATAATATTCAATATAGTAAGACTGGGATAAAAGCAACAACAATAATAATTTGAAAAACCAAATAATAAAGAAGGAATAAGGGCTTCCCATGTGCTGCTAGTAGTAAAGAACATGTCTGCCAATGAAGGAGACATAACAGACTTGGGTTTGATCCCTGGATCAAGAAGATCCCCTGAAGGAGGGCATGACAACACATTTCTAGTATCCTTGCCTGGAGAATCCTATGGACAGAGGAGACTGGCAGGCTACAGTCCATAAAGTCACAGAGAGCTGGAAGAGACTTAGCACACACAGTGGGACAGAGTTAGCACGCACTCATGCATGTTAAGGGCAACCAAACAGCCAAATTGGTAAGTTATTTTTTTCTTTATAAAAGACTAACTAAGCACTTACTTTAAAATTTTTATATTTCAAGAAAAGGATAAATAAAATGAAAATCATTTGCTCAAATGTGTAAAATATTGGAATTCTTCATCCTATTTTGAATTAATTATTTTCCAGTCATAGCAGGAAGAAAATTAAAATTTTATATAGAGGGGAATGTTTAAAATCTCTGAAAATTACAGACAACTGATGTTCAAAGTGGTGGGTAATTAGTATTTTTATATTAATATTTATATGTTTTGCATATATATGAAAAGTTTTGTGATAATATACACACACTAAAAAGAAAAAAGAACATCTTTGTGTGCAAATGTGGGATTGAGCTTTAGACTAAAGCAGAAAAAAAAAATAAGGCACAAAATATTGTGTGTGTGTGTGTGTGCGCGCGTACATTTCTGTGTGTTTTATGTGTGTGTGTTATGGTTTTCAAATGTAATGGTCAATCTTCAGATTTTTCAGAAATGTACTTCATCTACCATAAGCTAAAGTAACAATACCTCCTATAAGTCAAAATAGCAATTGAAAGTAATTGGCCTGAAGACAGAATAAAGGCAGTAAGGAAGTTTTATGGAGTTAACTTAAATATTTTTGTGTTTTATATATATATAATTTATAAACACACAGATAACATATATAAACATACAGATACATGAAAAAAAATTTCAAACCCAAAACGCTGCGCCATAGTGCATCCTAGTGGTCTTGGGAAAAACTACAACAGAGCTTACAGAAAAGGGAACGAAAATATTCTATACAATGTATGTAACAAAGCACTATGAATAACATTTCAAAAAAAATTAGATAAAGACAAAATAAAGAACTGCTGTGTTTGCTACAAGCTGTGTTCCCATAAAGCAGGGTCTCCTTACTGAATTGTTAAATTCACTGAAAAACAATTTACTCACAGAACTCAACTTAGTAACATTTCTTTTGAAGTCAATATGCTAATAAAATACCTTCCCACTTACATTACTTCCCATTGCTTTAACCCTTCATCTCACTGTTCCCTAATATTTTTCTATCTATGTCTGACTCCATGTTTAAGGGTAAATCTCATGCCTAAGAACTCTACATTTGATACATAGCTACGCCTCCCAACTGCCCTTTACTGGATAAAACTGCATGAAAATCATGTAATTATGATATATTAAAGATATTAATGACATCCCATTACGGTTTTGTTTCAAAGTCAATTATTACATATGATATGCTTCGAATATAACACAGCATTCCAACCACACTTTAAATGTTGACACTTAAAAAGAAGGTAACACATGCGATTTTAGCTAAACCTCAAAACCTGCAATCAGTTTTACAATCAGACAAATGGATCGATGAAGAAGGTATTTTGGTCAGAAGGAATGTCTTAAGAGTGGGGGAGGGGGTGGAAACCCACTGTGTGTGTGTGTGTGTGTGTGTGTGTGTGTGTGTGTGTGTGTGTGTGTGTGTGTGTGTGTGTGTGTGTGTGTGTGTGTGTGTGTGTGTGTGTGTGTGTGTGTGTGTGTGTGTGTGTGTGTGTACAGGACTAGAAACAGGACTGGATGTAAACGGTTTCACTAAGGATTCTGAAATTAGCTAGATATCTTTAAGCAAGGATATAACATTTGTAACATTTGTGATTTAGAAAATGAATCCCATGGATGTAGAAAATAAAGATTAGAATGAGAAAATGTATTAAAGGTAAGGATGATAGTTGGGCTTTTACATTAGAGCAGACACAAAAGAGATGTGGAGCAAATGGAAGAAACGTTTCAGAATTATATTTTAATAGTACTTGAGATTCTTCAGTATAGAACCTCCTGAAAAAACCTGAGGTTATACCCCGTGTGTTCTTGGAAAATTATATGTAATTTTCTCATTTTGTAAATTTTATCACCCTTTAAGGAATGCTTTGTTAAACCCACACTAGGTGAGTAATCCTTCTGTAATGTTAAAGATTCAGTTTTACTTAACTGTGGACCTTTTTAAGTGGGACTAGTTAGAAAATCTATAACCAGCAACTCAAAACCATGATCCTCAGTTGGGTTTTTACAGGTTAAATGACAAGATGCCTAGAATTTGCTCTAAAATAGTTTGAGATGAGGCAAGACTGACAAAAATGTTAACTGTTGAGGCTTGGAGGTGTCTATAAAAGATATTAGTCTCTGTATGTCTGTGTTTCAAATTTTCCTCCGTTTAAAAAAAAAAAACTTAAAAAAATTGGCGTAAGGCATTAGAAAAAATAATTTCAAAATGAAAAGAACTGAAATGCTTTATAGCTCTAATTTTTTTAAAAAAATTCCTAGGCATTATAAAAATAATTTTACAGTGAAGAGAACTTAAGTGTTTAAGAGCTCTAATTCACAAAGAATTTTCTTAATTCCTTAATTTATTCCACACTTCAGTGGTGCCATACATCAGGAGATTATTCCCGATGTAATGGCATGAAGTTCATGAAGTTCCATGAACTTCAAAAGATATGAAATCAGGGATACCTTTGCAGGAGAATCCCTTTAAATTAAAAAACAAAGAACAATCTTCCCTAGACTCAGTCACTAGCTGTTTATCTTTTCTGTTCTCCAAAGTCAAACTACTTGAAAAAATAAACAACTCTATCTGTCTCCATTCTATCCATCCTTCTCACCTCTCAACCCCCTGTGATCTGGTTTATGTTCCTGCTACCTCACTAAAGCTGCTCTGGCAAGGATACCAACAAGCACCTAAATGGCAAGTCCAGAACTATTTTCAGCACACAACGTACTTATGACTTGTTTGGCATCTGCAATTGTCAAACTCCCACCTTCTCTAGTTTGCTTCCCATTCACTGCTCTCTTCTTCCTTCCCCACCACTCTCTGGTTAGTGCTTCTTTGTCTTTTCCTCAAACCACTCCTGCAACTGGCTCCTGCTACCTCTTGTTCCACGCTAGTTCTGTCTGTTTCAGAGTTCTTACAATTTTACCCACAATATTGATGATCCCCAAGTACACATCTCTATTCATGAATCCTCTTCTATAACTGCTTTACTACCCTCTTTATTTCTAACTCACTTTATAATTTTCAAACTTTTCTCTCAAGCCAGAAACCTGGGAATCATTCTTGAATTATCTTTCTTATTCATCCCCAATACCAAGTCACCTCCAAATTTTATGGATTCTTTCTAGCTAAAATGTTTCATAGGGAATTCCTTGGTGATTTAGTGGTTAGGATTTGGGCTTTTACTGCCAGGGGCCCAGGTTCAACCCCTGATCAAGGAACTAAGATTCTGCAAACCACACAGTGCAGCTAAAAAATATAATATTAGAAGTAAAAAATAAAATATTTCATAGTTGATGACTCCTCTATTCCAGCAGTTAAAATGATATCATTTCTCATCCTAAACTATGACAATTTTCTGGCCTCTATTAACAGATCTTTTCAGTTCATCCCCCAAACTAAGGTCAGAGTGATTCTCTAAAATCTATTGAACACTATTCTGTGCTCAAACCTTTCAACTGTACAACAAATAAATGCAATATATATTCCTAGACTAGACCCTGGACCAGAAAAAAAAAATACTATAGAGATTATTACCGGCATATTTGGTAGGAAAAAAATGCTATAAAGATCATTACTGGATCGCTTCTGGGCCTTCTGACTAAGATCAAGTGTATTAAGATCATCATTGGAACATATGAATATGGGCTATATTACATAAAAGAACTATGTTAACATTAAATTTCCTTAATAATGAACTGTAGTTATTTAAGGGAAAGTCCTTGTTCTTAGAAGATACTCTCTTAAGTATTGAGGGGCAAAGGGATACAAGTCTGCAAACAAGTAGCAAATGACTCCGGGGGAGGGGCAGGGGAGGGGGAAGACATGAGTATACAGAGAGAACATGATACAAGTAAATACAGCAAAATGTTGTCAACGGGTGAAATCTGGAAAGAGTATATAGTTTGTTCAAGTTCGATTAGTTTGAGATTATTTTAGAAGAAAATGTTTTTAAAAAACTTCCAATGTAAGACAGAAGTTTGAACTCCTTAGTTAGGCTCTTCATGATCAGGCTTTTGCCCACCTCTACCATTACAGCTTATAAATTACAACTGACACCCCTACCTTCCATACACAGTAATCACAAATTTCTGAACACACCATACTGCTTTGCCCCATGTCAAACATACCATCTCCACGTCCTGAACCTTGGCAAACAGCTTATTTTTTATGATGCTGTTCATGTTCCACCTCCTCTAATTACACCCTCCTTTCTACTTCCACAGACTGCAGATCCAAATAACAACTCCCTTCTTTGTACCCTGGGTACCACTGTACCCTGTGCTGACTTCTCCCATAGCATCTCAGTTACTACACTGCACTTTTGTGGTTTATGAGTCTGCTTCCTGCTACTCTAAGCTGTGAAGGACAAGAACTGTGACTTGCTTGTTCCCAATTCCAGCACAGGACTTAAATTGGATGGATGGATTAATGAATATGTTATTGAGAAGGGAAACACACACACACACACGCACACATACACACCATATCCGTGTCCTTGGTTAGTTTAGTATTTGTATATTTTAATTTTCCTGACTTATAAGATAGTATAATGTACTGGTAGAGTACAAGCTTCAGAAGCAGACAAAACAGAGGGATCCAAATCATAGCTCTACTGTAACTCTGCAAGTCTACCTAAGTTATTTAGTTTTTAAGCCTCAAGGTCTAATACATAGTAGTTAATAAATAGTTATTATTACTGTTATTATGCTCTCTTTGATTATACCTATCATTGCTTAAAATCTCAGATATTCCCAAATTACACACTTTTAAAAGTGTTCTCCCCCCACCTCCCCAAAACAGCTTTCAATCAACCTCTCAACGAATGAAAAGAACCACCGATTTTTCACTAAGAAGTCAATCTGTTTTCAGTCTCTTGTGCCATTTAAAATCCCACATGAAGGTAAACACAACTAATAAAGTTTTATATCTCTTGATATTTATAAATATCATCTGCTAAATGTTATTTTATGGTAGTTTTTCAAACAAGCCATTCATCAATTTCAAAATGAAAAGGCCATGTGATCAAAAACAAAGCAAAACAGAGAATTTCAATATCACCTATCAAGTACTCAATAATCTAAAACAAAAAATTGTCTCATACTGCTGACAAAAAATTCTAAAGACCATCTGCTAAAACAAATACTTAATTCATATGAAAACTTCCAAAATTCTCATCCATGACCTATTGTCCTTTACTTGCAAGCCAAGTTTAGTTCTTGAATATTTTCAACACTTAGCAGAATAGAAAGGTAAGATTCACTTTTGGAGAGATATGAATAGGTGATAGCAAAGGCTCAAAATATCAAAAAGAAAGATTCTCAACGGAGTCTGCCAGAGCAGGTTTTTTCCATGGAAAACACATCAAACTGAATAATACTAAATGATAGGAAAAGGGAGTAAGTATTATAGAAATTTCCTTTACAACTCAAAAACTACTTCAATTCTATAAAGAAATGGATATTGACAGTTCAGGAAGTATACACATTTTCAATTCTATAAAGAAATGGATATTGACAGTTCAGGAAGTATACACATTTCTTCAGAAAGGACAGAGTAGGGAAAAAAGTTGCTAAAATTTTAAAAACCATATACATCAGCTTTTGGTCATTATTACTAAACATTCATTAACAAATTAACATATAGCAACCATTTCTAAATGTTTGTTTCAAATACTAGTTCCTGATTTTAAACAGAATACATTAAAATTTGAACCTGTTTTAGAAGTAACAGAAAAATTATTCCAGTATTTTAAGAGAACACTACTTTCCATTTTACTGAATTACCTTTCTTGTTTAAGAGCATATTCCAGCATTTTGATTCTTCTCACAAGATCCTTCTTCAAGTTTTCTTGACCTTTCCTTTCCCCCTGAAGAAAGGCAATCTGAGCCTGAGTAAGGAAAAGAAAAACAAAATGCAGTTTAGATGAAATAAACTTTTTAAAACTCAGTTGAAGAATCTTTGGAAGATAAAACAAATATAAAAACATTTCTTTTTACATATCTGTCACAAAGTAAACAGAAAGGCACTGACTGCAAGGGGTGGAAAGCTGAACTTTTTTCCTTTAAAGGAAATCTATATGCATTTTACTTCAGACCACAGATGTTAAGACAACCAACATGAGTGCAGACATATGCAAAATACAGTTGGGTTTGCTCAAGAGTTTGTCTTTTAAGGCACTAAGGGGTGTTCTCCTCTATAAAAAATGAAGACGGAGAACTACTACAAGTTGTACTATTTCGCTTTTAGGTATCTATCTGAAGAGAATAAAAACACTAATTCAAAACACTAGTAAGCATCCTCATGTTCACTGCAGCATTATTTATAATAAATAGCCAAGATATGGAAACTAAGTGTCAATTGACAGATGGCTACTGAAGATATGTATACGTACGTATATATATGTATGTACATGTATAACACACACAACTGAGTATTACTCAGCCATAAACAAATAAAATCCTGTCATTTGCAATAATATAGATGAATCGCAAGGATTTTATGCTAAGCAAAGTCAGTCAGGTAGAGAAAGACAGAAACTGTATGATTTCACTCGCATGTGGAATCTTACAAAAAATAAAGATGAACAAACAAAACAAAAACAAATACATAAATACAAAGAAGAGATCTGTGGTTACCAGAGACGAAAAGGGTTGGGGGACAGGCAACATGAGTATAACGGGTCAGCTGTACGGTGATGGATGGTAACTGGACGTGTGGCGGTGATCATTCTGCAGCATTTACAGATATTGAACTATAATGCTGCACACCTGAAACTTACACAGTTTATTTTCAGAGTGAAGACGAGGAAAGTGGGCAAAGCAAAACCATGAGTTCTTATAATAAGCTTTGTAAAATAAGAGTTCTCTAAGCTTCACCATCTACTTAAATTTTATGATGGATTCCTTGTCTCCAGAGACTTTATCCTGGACATCTACAAATAAAGAATAACTGCCTTTTCTCAATCCCCACCTTTAACCCCACCCCTATTTAGATTCTCTATGCAGGGGTAAAGAAAGTGAAAGGTGGGAAAAGGAAAATCAGAGCCAGTGGCCCTCCATAGTTTCCTGTCCCTTCCCAAGTATTACTAAAGAAAGAAAGAAAAAATCCCTACATTTTAACACAAATAAATTGTAATACTCTCATCTTCAGTCAAACAAAAGGGGATAGGAAAGAACAGTCGTTCAGAATAACTAAAAAATACATTTAGAACTGAAATACCACCTTCTTAAGGAATTAAAACTTAAGGAATTAAAAAGTATGCTACAAGTACTAATCTGTTAAAGTAACTCATAACACCACTAGGAGTGTGGCAGAAGATCTATCTACTTAAAGGCCATCAAAGACAGCTATCAGTTTCACTATTCTCACATTCCTTCCCCTCTCATTTCTATTATATTAACTCAGATATTGTTATTTATCTATCCACAGTGCTTTCCATTTAAGCAAGCAAGAAATTACATTTAATGATGGACCTTACAATATCCCTAAGAAATTGTGGATGATTCAACTTAAGGTTTAGTGAATGACCATTAAACTTCTTAGTTTAAACGACACCCATTTCTCTTTTTTCAGTACCATAATAAACATAAAATCCACTCACTGAGCTTCTTATAACTTTGAGAATGTAGGTACTGTCATGTTTTTGCTGTCATTTCAACAAACTCTTGACATTTACATTGCAGTGACTAGAAGGATTATTTGGCTAAAGATGATTCAATTGTATAAAAAGAGGAAAATGTATCAAATATCTGTAATATCTATACTAAACAATCATAAAACTTTTTGAAATTATTTGTTCTACAATGAGATTATTTTATATAAACAGAGTAATAATACATGCATTAAAAAGTGACAAAAATGAATGTCCTTCAAAAGGATATGACAGGTGTTGATGGTATAGTGGTGAGCATAGCTGCCATCCAAAAGGATATGACAGTCCAACTTATTTGGTCAAACAGTGCTTTGGCCTAGAAGACAGTCTTCAAAGTGGCTTTAATAAAAAAAATAATAATTTAACCAGTATAATCAAATAACCAAAATAATTTTTAAAAATTACCAATTTCTTCCTTTCTAGCCCATTTGACTAGTTCTGTATTTCTGCCACCATTCTGTATTTCTCTCCTGGGTGATTCTGACACTGAAGCCTCTAACACTCAAAAATCTTTACTGTGACTCATTCCCCAACCCATCAACTACTTCTTATATTTCCAGGACACTTGCTTCCCCATCCTCCTATCAATTCACATACTGGACTACTTAAATATTTAATATTAAAAGACCCAGAATTGTTGAAAGGAAAGATTACAAGGAAGATGGTGGTGCCTGGAAAAGGCAAAACAAGAAAAATAGGAATATCTGTGATAGTTCCTAGTGATCAAAGAATATCTCTGTGACATTTCTGCCACAGATGCAAAACCTAAAATCAATCATATGGAAACATCAAGCAAACTCGGGGCATTTTATGTTAACATTCTTATAATCTTCAAAAGTGTCAGGTTATAAAAGTCAAAGAAAAACTGTTTCAGATTGAAGGAGATTAAAAAGACCTGAAAACCAAATGTAATCCATGATTCTGTTCTAGATTTGGCTAAAAAAGGACATTAATGGGAAAACTGGCAAAATATGAATGGGATCTGAGGATCAAACGGTAGTAATACATCAAGTGTTAATTTCTATATTTTGATGGCTATGTGTGGTTACACAGGATAGTACTTGTCTACAGGAAACAAACACTGAAGTGTTTGGTAGGTGGCAATAGGTCATCAAGTTGCCTGGAACCTTGCCCTCAGAAGTTTCAGAAAAAAAACCTATTTGTACTGCCCTTACAACTTTTCTGTCAACAGGAGATTTTTGTTTTTGAAACAAACACTGTGCCAACTTCCTTAATATGATAAGACACAAACAATTAAATTCAAAACACAGTACCATGTGTAACAGAGAAACCTAAGAAGTAGTGACCATCAGGAACAAAACAAGGATGTCTATTTCTTACCACAAATATTTAACATTGCTCTGGTGGTGGCCACTGTCATTAGTCCAGAAAGAACTAAGTTTGGAAAAAATGAAAATTAATTTAAAAAGATGCATGCACCCCAATGTTCATAACAACACTTCTCACAACAGTCAAGACATGGAAAGAACTCAGTGCCCATCAACAAATGGATAAAGAAGATATGGTGTATATATACATACATCTACAGGGAGAGCAGTATTCCATATATATACATACGTATGATACACTGGAATACCACTGTGCCGTAAGAATGACATTCTGCCATTTGCAGTAATATGGATGAACCTGGAAAACATTATGCTTAGGAAAATAAGTCAGATAATAACAAGTACTGTATGATATCACTTATATGTGAAATTTAAAAAATAATACAAATGAATGTGTATGCAAAACAGAAACAGACTCACAGATATAGAAAACAAACCTGTGGCGACCAAAGGGGAGACAGAGGTAAGTGGGGACGGACAAATTAGGAGAATGGGATTAACAGATACAAACTACATATAAAATAGATAAACAAGACTATATTGTATAGTACAGGAATTACAGTCATTATCTTGTAATAACATAAATGGAGTAAAATCTATAAAAATACTGAACCACTATGTTGTGCATATAAAAATAATATAATACTGTACATCAACTATACTCCAATTAATAAAAAATAAGTTTATAAATTAAAAAAGGAAATAAAATCATATTATTTGCAAATGATTTGACTGGCTATCTGGAAAATCCAAGAAAAAACAGACTATAAACTATTATAAAAATATGGGAATTTCAGTAAAGTAACTACATATAAAAATAATAAATTGAAACCCATGGGCTTCTATAAAAACAACCAGTTAGATGATATAATGAAAGAAAACAATTCCATTTGTAATAACAAAGTGATAAGATTAGAATAAACCTTACAAGAAAAAAATAAGAGGTATACAAAGATTACTTTAAATGCTACTGAAGAGCATTAAAAAAATGACTTGAACAAATGAGAAGCAAAATCGTGTTCTTAAACAAGAAGACTCTGTATTACAATTTTATTTTCCCCTAAATTAATCTTATAAAATTATGCAAACCCAATTAAAATACAAATACAATGTTTTTAAAAACATCACACATGATGAGCCTAAAGTACATATGGAAAAATAAATAAGAATAAAAAAATTCCAAAGCTCTGAAATATTTTTTTTTTCATTTATTTTTATTAATTGGAGGCTAATTACTTCACAACATTTCAGTGGGTTTTGTCATACACTGACATGAATCAGCCATGGAGTTACATGTATTCCCCATCCCTATCCCCCCTCCCACCTCCCTCTCCACCCAATCCCTCTGGGTCTTCCCAGTGCACCAGGCCCGGGCACTTGTCTCATGCATCCAACCTGGGCTGGTGATCTGTTTCACCCTAGATAAGATACATGCTGTTCTTTCGAAACATCCCACCCTCGCCTTCTCCACAGAGTCCAAAAGTCTGTTCTGTACATCTGTGTCTCTTTTTCTGTTTTGCATATAGGGTTATCATTACCATCTTTCTAAATTCCATATATATGTGTTAGTATACTGTAATGGTCTTTATTTTTCTGAATTCAAATGAATTCTTTTTAACAGCTGAGTAATATTCCATGGTGTATATGTACCACAGCTTCCTTATCCATTCATCTGCTGATGGGCATCTAGGTTGCTTCCATGTCCTGGCTATTATAAACAGTGCTGCGATGAACATTGGGGTGCACGTGTCTCTTTCAGATCTGGTTTCCTCGGTGTGTATGCCCAGGAGTGGGATTGCTGGGTCATATGGCAGTTCTATTTCCAGTTGTTTAAGAAATCTCCACACTGTTGTCCATAGTGATTGTACTAGTTTGCATTCCCACCAA